TAAGAGACAGTTGTACACACAGTGTTAACTGGTTATAAGAGACAGTTGTACACACAGTGTTAACTGGTTATAAGAGACAGTTGTACACAGTGTTGACTGGTTATAAGAGACAGTTGTACACACAGTGTTAACTGGTTATAAGAGACAGTTGTACACAGTGTTGACTGGTTATAAGAGACAGTTGTACACACAGTGTTGACTGGTTATAAGAGACAGTTGTACACACAGTGTTAACTGGTTATAAGAGACAGTTGTACACACAGTGTTGACTGGTTATAAGAGACAGTTGTACACACAGTGTTGACTGGTTTATAAAGAGACAGTTTGTACACACAGTGTTAACTGGTTATAAGAGACAGTTGTACACAGTGTTGACTGGTTATAAGAGACAGTTGTACACAGTGTTGACTGGTTATAAGAGACAGTTGTACACACAGTGTTGACTGGTTATAAGAGACAGTTGTACACACAGTGTTGACCGGTTATAAGAGACAGTTGTACACACAGTGTTAACTGGTTATAAGAGACAGTTGTACACACAGTGTTGACTGGTTATAAGAGACAGTTGTACACAGTGTTGACTGGTTATAAGAGACAGTTGTACACAGTGTTGACTGGTTATAAGAGACAGTTGTACACAGTGTTGACTAGTTATAAGAGACAGTTGTACACACAGTGTTGACTGGATTATAAGAGACAGTTGTACACACAGTGTTGACTGGTTATAAGAGACAGTTGTACACAGTGTTGACTGGTTATAAGAGACAGTTGTACACACAGTGTTGACTGGTTATAAGAGACAGTTGTACACACAGTGTTGACTGGTTATAAGAGACAGTTGTACACACAGTGTTGACTGGTTATAAGAGACAGTTGTACACAGTGTTGACTGGTTATAAGAGACAGTTGTACACACAGTGTTGACTGGTTATAAGAGACAGTTGTACACACAGTGTTGACCGGTTATAAGAGACAGTTGTACACACAGTGTTAACTGGTTATAAGAGACAGTTGTACACAGTGTTAACTGGTTATAAGAGACAGTTGTACACACAGTGTTAACTGGTTATAAGAGACAGTTGTACACAGTGTTGACTGGGTTATAAGAGACAGTTGTACACACAGTGTTGACTGGTTATAAGAGACAGTTGTACACACAGTGTTGACCGGTTATAAGAGACAGTTGTACACACAGTGTTAACTGGTTATAAGAGACAGTTGTACACAGTGTTAACTGGTTATAAGAGACAGTTGTACACACAGTGTTGACTGGTTATAAGAGACAGTTGTACACAGTGTTGACTGGTTATAAGAGACAGTTGTACACAGTGTTGACTGGTTATAAGAGACAGTTGTACACACAGTGTTGACTGGTTATAAGAGACAGTTGTACACACAGTGTTGACCGGTTATAAGAGACAGTTGTACACACAGTTTTTAAACTGGTTATAAGAGACAGTTGTACACAGTGTTGACTGGTTATAAGAGACAGTTGTACACACAGTGTTGACTGGTTATAAGAGACAGTTGTACACACAGTGTTGACCGGTTATAAGAGACAGTTGTACACACAGTGTTAACTGGTTATAAGAGACAGTTGTACACAGTGTTAACTGGTTATAAGAGACAGTTGTACACACAGTGTTGACTGGTTATAAGAGACAGTTGTACACAGTGTTGACTGGTTATAAGAGACAGTATATATCACCACTACATAATAACTCAGGTTGTTACACCATCTCACTTATTTATCTACACATATTTAACCAATCAAGGTAGGTTCCTTGATGCTGGTGAAGGGATCTTGATCCAAGGAATTGGATCTTTGCTCCAGTTCCATGAATTAAGTCTGAATACCATCCCCCATCTCTGGTGCCGTATAATTCTACGGGTTTAGCGCTCCCCTGTGGTTATAATTAATTACGCATATTTAAATACGGTTACATATATTATACATACTAAGGCCTCATGGTGGATCAGGGTCTGATCAACCAGGCTGTTACTGCTGGGCGCACACAATCCAACGTATAAACCACAGCCCGGCTGGTCAGGTACCGACTTTAGGTGTCAAAGTAACTTATTTCTATTAATAAGATTTTATTCGGATTTTTAACCCCGGAGGGTTGGCCACCCAGGATAACACAAGAAAGTCAGTGCGTCATCGAGGACTGTCTAACTTATTTCCATTATGGTCCTCAATCTTCTCCCTCAGGATGCCACCCACACCAGTTACCTAACACCCAGGTACCTACTTACTGCTAGGTGAACACTGACAACAGGTGTAAGGAAACGTGTCGAAATGTTTCTACCCCGCTGGGGATCGAACCTGGACCCTCCGTGTGTGAAGCCAGAGCTTTACCAGCCAGGCCACAGGAGCACCCATGGTCCTTGTAATAACTTATTATTTAGCCCTTATCTTATGTACGTGCGTACAGGTACGCTTAACTACAGTTATACCAGATTTATTTTTTCTCCAGATTTACAGTTGTCATACATAGTAATATATGTGTAAATTACCTGCTAGGATAACCTTAACCCTGAAACTGTCCAAGCGTAGATCTACGTTTGCATGTGTAGCACTCTGAGCATAGATCTACATTTTTTTTTTACATAATGTAAAATCGAGCGTAGATCTACGCTCAGAGTGCTACGCATGCAAACGTAGATCTACGCTTGGACAGTTTAAGGGTTAACCCTTAAACAGTCCAAACGTATATGTACATTCACGTGCGTAGCGCCCCAAACGTATATATGTTTTCTTTGTCATTCATTCAACATTGCCACAATAAGCCTGAGTCACCTAGACATGAGAGAATGGGTGTGCGCACTCACTGTGTTCCTTATTAAAATAATTGGGGATGCCTGGGTACCATATGCTCTTTTTTCCTTTTAAAAGAAAAAATTTCTTTTTTCCTCAAAAAATTTGGGGCGCTACGCGAGTGAACGTATATATACGTTTGGATCGTTTAAGGGTTAATAACTCAAAGTGACATATTTCCACTGGGGTCCCCCAAGTACCCATTACTCCCGATCTTCCATTTTTTTCTGTTTTAAATTTTAACTGGTGGAATATGCGTGTTTCCTCCATTTTCAAAAAAGTTTTGTTAATATTTTCTCCATTAGTTACTGAGAAGTACGTGTTAAATAGCCTAGGTATACTAGTGACGCTTTGTACTTCATATTTTGTATTATGTAAACCGCACATTGTAAACTTCGCAAAGAAATAAAATTTTTAACCTTTTCGATTTGAATTTTAACACTTTAACCCGTAAACGGTCCAAACATATATATACGTTTTTTCAACATTTGGAAGTATGTAAAAAAGTAGATCTTCTTTTTGTTTTTTTTCATTTGAAAATGTGTAAAAAAACTTTGATCTTTTTTTTTTTGTTAGATCTACTTTTGCAGCACTACACATGTGAACGTAGATCTGCTTAGACCGTTTACGGGTTAAACTGTCCAAACGTAGATCTACATTTTTTATGCATGCTTTCAAATGTAAAAAAAAAAAATCAACGTTCGGAGCTCTACGCACGTGAATAAGGATCAACGTTTGGACAGTTCAAGGGTTAACCCTTAAATGGTCCAAACGTATATATACGTTCACTCGCGTAGCGTCCCAACTTTTTTGAGGAAAAAACAATCTTTTCTTTTAAAAGGAAAAAGCATATGGTACCCAGGCATCCCCAATTATTTTAATATGACACACAGTGAGTGCGCACACCCATTCTCTCATGTCTAAGTGAATCAGGCTTATTGTGGCAATGTTGAATGAATGACAAAGAAAACGTATATATACGTTTGGGGCGCTACGCGCGTGGACGTATATATACGTTTGGACCGTTTCAGGGTTAAGAGTGATATTCCTTCACCCCAATGGAAATAAGTCACTTCGTCTGTTTTTTTCTTTGGGTTATCCTGGTTGTTACCTTACACACACAATAATAATAATAATAATAATACATAATATCTTTATTTACTACAAGTGCATGTACAAGGTATACAAGTACGTGTACAAGGTATACCAGTACATGTACAAGGTATACCAGTACATGTACAAGGTATACCAGCGCATTTACAAGGTATACCAGCACATGTACAAGGTATACCAGTACATGTACAAGGTATACAGACCATAGATGACATTAGTGACATACTACTATATAAAAAGTCCCTTGTTATGCTGAGCATTTCCCGCAAATTATGTCAGTTTTATCCCAGGATGCAACCCACACCAGTCCACTAACACCCAGGTACCCATTTTACTGATGGGTGAACACAGACAACCGGTGTAAGGAAACACATTCAATGTTTCTACCCTCGCCAAGAATCAAAACCGGACCTTCGCTGTGTGAAGCGAGAGCTTGCACAACAAAAATAAGTATCAGAGTATCGGGTATCAGCTAATTTTGATATTTGCCCAAAATTATCGGTATTGGTATTAATTTTGGTGTCCTATCTCAATTCATAATACAGTGGACCCCCGCTTAACGATCACCTCCAAATGCGACCAATTATGTAAGTGTATTTATGTAAGTGCGTTTGTACGTGTATGTTTGGGGGTCTGAAATGGACTAATCTACTTCACAATATTCCTTATGGGAAAAAATTCGGTCAGTACTGGCACCTGAACATACTACTAGAATGAAAAAAGTTCGTTAACCGGGGGTCCACTGTATTCAGGGTGGTGGTTTTCATATACAAACTACAGCTCACATTAATAACTGGGCTTCTACCCTTCAAACGCAACTGTTTGTGTATCAAAGGTTAACACTAACTGTAACTGATTCTTTATCATCCTGGTGGGTAGTTTACACTGTGTATGATAATTGCATGTATGTGCACCTGTACCTAAATAGACTTACTCACTGACTCGCTCACTCGCTTACTGGTTTATTTGTGTGAAGTTTGGGTTTAGAAGAAATATTCTGGTAATTTTGTTGATTCAGTCCCATTTTATTTAGTTATGTACTATATCTATATAAGGGGTTACTGAAGTTTTTTTTCACGTTTCATTGTAGAATGTATACCCCAGTGACTGACCGTGGAGGAGGTGGTGGTTCCACCACTCCGTCGTTTTCCTCTGCGAGCGCAAGAGCAGCAGCTGCTGCAGCTGCACGGAGGAGGAGTACAGGAGTGTTCGTTGCTAGTACACGATGCTCGCCGTACACTCCAGGGTGAGTAGGGAGTTCAGTGTGTGAAATTATGAAAGAAGCAATGTGTTTAAGTATTTTTTAATAGTGTAGAATTATGTTCAGTCAATTTTCAGTTGCATTCAACTTGGGAGAGACTATTGTAGTACTAGTTGAAACTTGGGAGAGACTATTGTAGTACTAGTTGAAACTTGGGAGAGACTATTGTAGTACTAGTTGAAACTGCCACAGGTAAATGATAAGGGGGACTAATGATTTAATTACAGGAAAAGTTTTTGTAATAGGTAATAGTTATGCCCTTTACCTCAAAATAAGTATGAAATGGGGCATAATGTATAATGACAGTAGTATGCTAGACCTTGTATTAGTAGATAGACTGTTGGATAAACTTAAACTTGTGCATGGTTTATCATTATTTAGTAGCAGCTATAGTAAGAGGTAGATTGTAAAAGAGTCCCTTTACACTTACTGAATTCCCTGTATTTTCATTGTGCGGCTTTATCATTAGAGATATTTTGCATCACCGGCCAAACCTCTTGTGTTCATGTATAGTGATTTTGGTGTGTGGATTTAGGACTAAAGGAAGAATGGCGTTAGTTCCTGTGAGAGAAGTGAAAGTAAATGAACTAAAGGAGACTGTTAATGTGATATAAAAACAACTGTTTGAATAAAGGTGGGATAGAGAGATAATAGATAATGAGTCTGTACAGAGATTGGGGTAGGTTTATGAAAGTAGAAGTTGTGGTTATAGGACGGTGGGAAAGGAAATGATTGGTGGAATGATTGGAGTTTTGATAGCTGCACATATCTGACAAGAGAGCTATTGTATGAATAATGTTAACTATGTTTCTTTTCATTCCTTGGTGGGAGACAGCTGGTGTTTAATATAGTATTTGTTTAAAATTCATTATCAAAATTTTATCACTAATGTTAGAGATCATGTTGTATTATAATTATTTGTTCACCATCATAGATCATGTTTTATCATTTTTAAAAAGCATTTATTTCTGCCTTGTACAAACCCCCCACTCATAAGAAAGGAGGAGCACTGTAGTAGACTTACTGGATGATGCTAATCAATCACATTCTTCTCTAGACTTATTGGACAGTGCTAATTAATCACATACTTCTCTAGACTTATTGGACAGTGCTAATTAATCACATTCTTCTCTAGACTTATTGGACAGTGCTAATTAATCACATTCTTCTCTAGACTTATTGGACAGTGCTAATTAATCACATTCTTTCTCTAGACTTATTGGACAGTGCTAATTAATCACATTCTTCTTTAGACTTATTGGACAGTGCTAATTAATCACATTCTTCTCTAGACTTATTGGACAGTGCTAATTAATCACATTCTTCTCTAGACTTATTGGACAGTGCTAATTAATCACATTCTTCTCTAGACTTATTGGACAGTGCTAATTAATCACATTCTTCTCTAGACTTATTGGACAGTGCTAATTAATCACATTCTTCTCTAGACTTATTGGACAGTGCTAATTAATCACATACTTCTCTAGACTTATTGGACAGTGCTAATTAATCACATTCTTCTCTAGACTTATTGGACAGTGCTAATTAATCACATTCTTCTCTAGACTTATTGGACAGTGCTAATTAATCACATACTTCTCTAGACTTATTGGACAGTGCTAATTAATCACATTCTTCTCTAGACTTATTGGACAGTGCTAATTAATCACATTCTTCTCTAGACTTATTGGACAGTGCTAATTAATCACATTCTTCTCTAGACTTATTGGACAGTGCTAATTAATCACATTCTTCTCTAGACTTATTGGACAGTGCTAATTAATCACATTCTTCTCTAGACTTATTGGACAGTGCTAATTAATCACATTCTTCTCTAGACTTATTGGACAGTGCTAATTAATCACATTCTTCTCTAGACTTATTGGACAGTGCTAATTAATCACATTCTTCTCTAGACTTATTGGACAGTGCTAATTAATCACATTCTTCTCTAGACTTATTGGACAGTGCTAATTAATCACATTCTTCTCTAGACTTATTGGACAGTGCTAATCAATCACATTCTTCTCTAGACTTATTGGACAGTGCTAATTAATCACATTCTTTAGACTTACTGGACGATGCTAATCAATCACATTCCTCTCTCACTCAACCATTCTTTCTTGTATGTTTATTAAATTTTTTAAAGCTATCCAGTAATATATTTTTAGAGGCTTGACATCACACGAAATTGTGCGTAAAGTGTTGAAAACAGCTTTTCGCTTGTTTAAGCTTCATTTCCTGTAAGTCGCCAAAATTAATATATTTTAGCATTAGCTCAGTTTAAGGCTAACAGTTCAATATTTCTTATTCTCTGTAAGGGAGATGCATTATCTTAAAATAGTAATAAAAATAATAATCCTAGGTAGTAGGTTGGTAGACAGCAGCCGCCCAGGGAGGTACTACCACCCAGGGAGGTACTACCACCCAGGGAGGTACTACCACCCAGGGAGGTACTACCACCCAGGGAGGTACTACCACCCAGGGAGGTACTACCACCCAGGGAGGTACTACCACCCAGGGAGGTACTACCACCCAGGGAGGTACTACCACCCAGGGAGGTACTACCACCCAGGGAGGTACTACCACCCAGGGAGGTACTACCACCCAGGGAGGTACTACCACCCAGGGAGGTACTACCACCCAGGGAGGTACTACCACCCAGGGAGGTACTACCACCCAGGGAGGTACTACCACCCAGGGAGGTACTACCACCCAGGGAGGTACTACCACCCAGGGAGGTACTACTGTCCTGCCAAGTGAGTGTAAAATGGAAGCCTGTAATTGTTTTACATGATGGAATGATTGCTGGTAAATAACAAAAAGGCACAATACCGTGACTGGAACGATACACAAATAACCCGCACATAAAAGACAGAAGCTTACGACGACGTTTCGGTCCGACTTGGACCATTGACAAAGTCACACTAACAGAGGAGGAGCAGGACGGCTATATATAGGCAGGAAGAGGTGGAGGTAGTAGTAGTGATAGTAGTAGTAGTAGTAGTAGTAGTACAAGAATTGTATATAATACCGACAGGATGAGATGACACACGCACAACACCCGGGCATCCTCACCGTAGACGCTTCGCCATCCAGCCAGCCACTGGATGGCGAAACGTCCACAACAAAGACAACCAGACGCCGCACATGTGTCTAATTTCATCAGAAGATGTAGTAGAAGAAGAAGAGGTAGTAGTAGTGGTAGTGGTAGAAGTGGGAAATAAGGAAGACGAGCCAGTCAAATACAAAGGAAGGGGAGCACTGCAAGAGAGCTAGAAACCCACAGAGGGAGAGCAAGCGCACCGAGGTGCGTGAAAGGGGAAGTGGTGAAATAAAATAAAGAAGGAACAGAAACACGAGACAGAGAGAGAAAGACAACCCAGAGGAGAAAAGGAGAGAGGAAATGGGAAGAGGAAGAAGAAAAAGAAGAAGAAGAAAAAATGAGGATTCAGGTTAAGTCACGGGTGTTCTGAAGTTTGGAGCATTTTACAATGTAGTGGGAGAGGAAGGCATCTACAGAGACGAAGCCAGGGCTAAGGTTCATACAAGGAAAGTTGTGTATAAGAGAGGATTCAACTAAACGGCGACTGTTCGAGTTGGAAGTAGGGAAGACAGTTTTAGCAGAAGACCAGTCAATAGGATGGCTATGATCTCTGACGTGACAGAAAAGAGCATTGTTTAGTGTCGGCAAGCCTAACACTATTTTTGTGCTCCCTAAGTCTGTCAGAAAGAGAACGACCAGTTTTCTCCAAAGTATTGAAGAGGACAGGAGGAGCAAGAAATAGAGTAGACACCAGGAACATCTGTAGAGGGAGGAGAGGTATGAACGAGATTAGTGCGAAGAGTGTTAGTCTGGCGGAAGGTAAGCTTGATGTCTAAGGGACGGAGAGAATTGTTGAGATTAGAAAGACCGGAAATGTAGGGAAGCAGAGGATAGAAGAGTTTCCCATGAGTAGAGAGTTTGGGAGAGAAGAAATTCCGTTTAGCACGTGAGAGGGCAGAGTCTATGAAATGGGAAGGGTAGCCAAGACGGGAGAACGAATTATAAAGAGTGGAAATTTCTGCTAGAAGGAACTGAGATACACAGATGCGGAGGGCACGGAGAAAGAGGGAGATAAGAACACTTTTCTTGACAGGGGAAGCATGATAGGAAAAGTAGTGAATGTACATGCCACTGTGCATAGGTTTTACGGTAAACGGAAAAGGAAAAAACCTGTATCTGAGCGGTGGACATGGACATCCAGGAAAGGAAGTAAGGAATTAGATTCCCATTCAGCTTTAAACTTAATGGAAGGGGCAAGATTGTTAAGAGCTTCAAGAAAAGGTTGGAAGAGACTGGAGTCATGAGGCCACAGAGCAAAGATGTCATCCACATAGCGGAGCCAGAGTGAAGGTTGCACATCGAGGGTAGGAAGAAGAACAGTCTCGAAGTATTCCATGTAAAGATTAGCAAGGACAGGAGAGAGAGGAGAGCCCATAGCGACACCGAAGGTTTGGGAATAATATTTCCCTTGGAAGGAAAAGGAGTTAGAGTCCACACAGAGGCGGATCAGATCAAGAAAGACTTCAGTGGGGATAGGGAGATGAAGAAACCCTTCATGGGCCTTCTCTCTAAGGAAATCAAGGACATCATCAAGAGGGACATTGGTGAAGAGGGACTCAACGTCAAGACTAAGCATCTTACAGGTTGGGAGAGAGCGAACCCGTTGACTGGTCTTCTGCTAAAACTGTCTTCCCTACTTCCAACTCGAACAGTCGCCGTTTAGTTGAATCCTCTCTTATACACAACTTTCCTTGTATGAACCTTAGCCCTGGCTTCGTCTCTGTAGATGCCTTCCTCTCCCACTACATTGTAAAATGCTCCAAACTTCAGAACACCCGTGACTTAACCTGAATCCTCATTTTTTCTTCTTCTTCTTTTTCTTCTTCCTCTTCCCATTTCCTCTCTCCTTTTCTCCTCTGGGTTGTCTTTCTCTCTCCTGTCTCGTGTTTCTGTTCCTTCTTTATTTTATTTCACCACTTCCCCTTTCACGCACCTCGGTGCGCTTGCTCTCCCTCTGTGGGTTTCTAGCTCTCTTGCAGTGCTCCCCTTCCTTTGTATTTGACTGGCTCGTCTTCCTTATTTCCCACTTCTACCACTACCACTACTACTACCTCTTCTTCTTCTACTACATCTTCTGATGAAATTAGACACATGTGCGGCGTCTGGTTGTCTTTGTTGTGGACGTTTCGCCATCCAGTGGCTGGCTGGATGGCGAAGCGTCTACGGTGAGGATGCCCGGGTGTTGTGCGTGTGTCATCTCATCCTGTCGGTATTATATACAATTCTTGTACTACTACTACTACTACTACTACTATCACTACTACTACCTCCACCTCTTCCTGCCTATATATAGCCGTCCTGCTCCTCCTCTGTTAGTGTGACTTTGTCAATGGTCCAAGTCGGACCGAAACGTCGTCGTAAGCTTCTGTCTTTTATGTGCGGGTTATTTGTGTATGATTGCTGGTGTCTTTTTATCTTTTTTCTGTCTCATAAACATGCAAGATCTTGCTACTTCTACTTACACTTAGGTCACACTACACATGCATGTACAAGTATGTATGTATGTGTGTACTCACCTATTTGTACTCACCTATTTGTGGTTGCAGGGGTCGAGTCACAGCTCCTGGCCCTGCCTCTTTGCTGATTGCTACTAGGTCCTCTCTCTCTCCCTGCCCCATGAGCTCTATCATACCTTGCCTTAAAACTATGTATGGTTCCCGCCTCCACTACATCACTTTCTAGGCTATTCCACGGCCTGACTACTCTATGACTGAAGAAATACTTCCTAACATCCCTTTGATTCATCTGAGTGTGTGTGTGTGTGTGTGTGTGTGTGTGTGTGTGTGTGTGTGTGTGTGTATCTATATATATATATAATATGTTATTTCCTTTTTATTTCCATGGGGAAGTCGAATAGAATTCTTCCTCTGTAAGCCATACGTGTTGTAAGAGACGACTGACATGCTGGGAGGAAGGTGCTAGTAACCCCTTCTGTATACACTACTAAAATTAATAAGAGAAACTTTTTTTTTTTTTCGGGCCACCCTGCCTAGGTGGGATATGGCTGGTTTGTTGAAAGAAGAAGAATACAGTGGACCCCCGGTTTACGATATTATTTCATTCCAGAAGTATGTTCAGGTGCCAGTACTGACCGAATTTATTCCCATAAGGAATATTGTGAAGTAGATTAGTCCATTTCAGACCCCCAAACATACACATACAAACGCACTTACATAAATACACTTACATAATTGGTCGCATTGGGAGCTGATCGTAAACCGGGGGTCCACTGTACATATTATTATTTTATTTCAGCATGATATAATGTTTGTACAGAGATGGGTGACATTTAGTTGTGCATGCATAAAGCCCTTAGTTTTGCAGAGCATTTTGGGCAAGCTTAAGCCATTGTGGTTCAAAAGTAAGTTCTGACTTTCTTTTCAGGCGGTCAACATCAATGAATCGTTCTCTACAGACATCACAGTTATTGGAAGGCAGTGGACAGTATTCTTTGGAGAGTTATGGAGTGTCCTTGCCTGCACTAGTCATGGAAGCCCTGACATTTGCTGACCGTGAGTCTCCAAGATAGTTATCTGACATATTTGTACAGTATCTGACTTGTCTTTAATGTAGTACAGCCTCTTATGACTCGCCTAACTTAACGACAGAGTTCCGTTCCTAAGACTACATCGGTGAACGAATTCGTTGCTAAGTGAGGAGCATACTATAATGGTAGTGGATTTATGTCAACCATCTTCGATATTGTTTTAATGTCACCTTTGCACCATTTATAACATTTCTGGTATATTTTGAAATGTTTATACAGTAGTGTTCTGTATATTGTAATAAACAGAATGGAGGAAATCAGCTCTAATATACATTATTTAGGTATGATTACTAGTCAGAGAGCCCGTCATAAATCTGAGGCATCAATAAACAAGTGAGTTGCTAAGTGAGGAGAGGCTGTATTCATTTTTCGTAATGAAGGGCACCAGGTGTTCTTTTTACAGAAGCAAACTATTTCTTCAGTATCCAAAATATAGTTTACATGTAATAAAATATTGTTAAGCACAAAAAGCTGCTACCATACTGTGCATTTTGGGCAGACTAATCCTAGAAAGTGTATAGAGGCAAAATGTTCATGCTATTTTTTTATGTAAGTTGTTAAAAAAATTAAATTTGGCTGTTATGAATATAAAATCTTGATGCATCTACCCCTCTACTATGGCTCAGGTAATGTGGAGATGTCAGCAGTGTTATCACAGGGTGGGTGGGCCTGGTTGGTGTGCGGTCGTCGCTTGCTGGTGTGGCGCTACACACTTGATGACACCCGGCGCCTCGTCAACCACCAGTTTAGGGAGCTGACCTTGCCACCATCAGATCTCGCTCATCGAGCCCAGCTAGTTGTTGTTTATGTTGCCAATGAGGGGCAGGTATGTAGAACTCATTTGCCAGTGCAAGTACTGTGGTGTGTGGAGAAAAATTGCTGGCACTTTCCTTCCTGCTAGTTCCTTTATTTCCCTGTACTCTCACCACTGCTGCTTGGCAATCTCTTCCACTGTCTTCTCCATGTTCACCTTTCAAGAGTTTTTCCAAACTTGGCCTCTCTTCAAACTTTTCTCTCCCATTCTTATTGGTATGTTGCCCTGCTGTTGCTGGTCAGTGTTTGCACGCTAAATGTTTCTCATATGAATGGAACCATGTTCATTATTTTCCACCGTGATAGGATTGTTAGTCATTTATTTTTCTTGAGAACCTATACAGTAACAGCTAAAGTTTACAAAGTTCACAGGTCAACATTCACTTGACATTAGACATTTGTAAACTTCAGCTGTCAGTGTGAGAGTTCTCAAGACAGAAAGAAATGATTCAGGAATCCTACCAGAGTGGGAAAACATTGAACAAGGTTCATTGATTTTATTGATTTATTAATAACTATTAATTATTGTACTAGTCTTTTGTAATCCATTTTTTTTTTTACAATCAGTGCAAGTTGATCTTGATTAATAAAGCCAATGAATGGGCAAAAGTAATTGAACGCACGCTTTTATTTTTTTGTAACAACACGGTGGCAGTATACAAGCAAGCATTGCAATACTTTCAGGTACCATCGTGTTTAGCAGTGTCTCCAGAAGGGTATGTGCGCTTCTGGCCCAGTATTGCTCATGAAGGCTCATACTTTGAAGTCAGTACAGAGCTTCAGGTTAGTCTAAAGGACATAACAGATGCCTTGTCCTTTACTTGGTAAATTTGTACTTAACGTTTGGCAACTATTATCTGGATTGGTTCCTGTAGAGAACTGTAACACACAACTTTTCAGATACTCAAGCAGAGAGTACACTTTGCTTTTAAAGATTTTTATGACTAGACTTAAAACTATTTAGATTAGTATATTACTCATTTCCTATCCTATATAAATTATGTGTGCATATGTCATTTCTTTTATTCAGAGTTGTTTGGACCATTTAGATTTTTTTCTAAAATGTATTTTTATACAGAATGAAAGTAGTTAATGAAAGAAAAATGTTCACTGGAATATTGTTACTGTGTATGACATTACTCTTTTTTAACATTTAAAAATTGATTTTTAAATGCTTTGTTGCTGATCAATTTACACAGTGATATTTGTGAAGACCTAATGATTATATTTTTTACTTATTGTATATGGCTAATACACAAGCTACTTAAGGTACCACCTTAACTGTTTTTGACTATTCTAGGGCCAGGAATGTGACAGTCTGGTGTTCCTTGGGCCAGCATTAGGCTGCCTTCTAGCAACTACCACCTCCACTACACTACTGATACAACCAGGAGGGGGGTCCGGAGGGAACCAGACCATCAATGTACGACAGTTAAAGGTTCCTGCTGGGCTGCTTGGGGGAATATCACGTAGAGTGTCGTCTCTTGTATTTGGCTCCATGCCAACCCAGGCTCCTGAGGCAGTGAGTAACATTGGTAATACAGTATTTTTTAATTACTCCATATTCCTTTATGTATGTGTGCTTTATCCTTATCTGTGCATGGATTTTTGTTTGCATAAATAGTACGTAGCTCTTAGCTAAATATTATAGAATAGGGAGAGAGTCTGTCAGAAAATCTTATTCTGAAGTTGCTCCACCCCATTACACCCTTCAGTCAGCTACCTTTGTTCCCATACCACCAGTAGTAAGCCACCCAGCCAGAAAACACTCCTCTTTAATACCCACTCCACAAATTATACTAAGCATTACTTCCAACACACAGGAAAGTGTTCTTTAATATTGGAATCATCTCTGAGACAAGGGCAATTTAATACAGGGGAACTTAAGTTTTTGGTTTTGCCTTTAGAGTAGTGATGTATTGGATATTAGCATCTGCATCTGCAGCCGTGGAACATCTGCACAATTTCTTACATCTGCATCTGCATCCACATTTTACTGTAAACATTTGCATTTGCATCCACATCCGAATCCACAGAACATCCACACAATTTCTTATGTCCACATCAAAATCCTTGGAACATCCACACAATTTCTTGCATCCAAATCAGCGTCCGCATCCGCAAAATAAGTGAGAAACCCTCATACACATCCGCATCTGCGGATATCTAAATTTTCACATCCAATACATCTCTAGAGTTGTAGAATAACATAATCTTGACTTCCAAGGGGCAATTTACAACACTTAAATTGAGATTTTGCTGTACCCTCCTGATGAATCGATTTACAGCAGTTTCCTTTGCCTCTCCCCAACTTTCCTCCACCCCCTGGCATAGTATGCATCTGTGCATCTTGTGTTCCAAATCAAGGAATAGGTGGGACTTGAACCCATGGCAAGCAAGTCCTAAAACTTGCTTACCATGGGTTTGCAATTGTTTATTACTATTGCATGAATCTTGTGGTCCAAAATAATCAGGGGTGACCACACTCCCTGCACAAGACTTCAAACTTTTAATTAGTAAAGGCTGCTGTCTACAGTGCACATTACAGCAACCTTTTGTAAATAGCAAAAAAAGGGACAATACCGTGACTGGAACAATACACAAATAACCTGCACATAAAAGAGAGAAGCTTACGACGACATTTTGGTCCGACTTGGACCATTTACAAAGTCACTTTGTGACTTTGTAAATGGTCCAAGTCGGACCGAAACGTCGTCGTAAGCTTCTCTCTTTTATGTGTGGGTTATTTGTGTAACCTTTTGTATTTGTGACTTTGGGTTGAGTTGTGTAATATTGAAGTTCCAGTTTTGTTGGTATTGTTTACCATTATGATATTCAGTTTTGATGGTCTCTACCAGTGGCGGCTCATCCATAGGAGCTGCAGAGCTGCAGTTTCCCCAGATGCTCACTGCCAGACGTATGACTTCATCAACCTTACGCAAAAATAATTTGCAGATGACAAGTATATTACAGGAAAAATCTGTTGTATGTTGTTTTCAATGTATTTATAAGCGAATTTTTTTTTTTTTTTTTTTTTTTTTTTTTTGAAACGAGATAAGTGATTAAAAATAGAAGTTTGATGCAGTACGATAGTATAGGTATTACTGGTGCTGCAAGCCGCCACTGATCCCTACAGACGAGTCTCAAGCTGTGCAGAGTGCAGCAGTATGTGGCATCATTGACATCAGATGATTTTTGCAAATTATTGATAGAATTTTATCTGTGAACGCTTGGTTGCAAGGAATCTTGCTCCTCTGTACATTATGCTATAGACTGTGACTACCATTTTTAATAACATGCCTTAGGTTTTACTGCCATTTAGAGAAGGTTATTGTAACCACTGAGGTGGCTAGAAAATTCATCGAGACATATTAGGTGGACCTTGTATAACATAGTTGACCTTGATGTTTGTAATAATAATGTTTTAACCTTTAATTTTATTTATTGTTTTAAGGACTTTATATTTTCTATGTTGTGGTTTTAATGTGTGTTTAATGTATAGAATCCTGAATGAGCTCAGTCTCAGTACTCTGTAAATACCATAACCTCTTTCTCAGTCTTTTTTCTCCCACTAAATAACAGAATGAGTTGTGTGATTTGTTTGTGATTTTGTTAAGATTTTTTAGTCACGATTCCTCTCCAGCGTTTCTAAACAGATTATACCTCCTTCCCTCCGGGTTCTTTTTCCTACCCGTGAAAACATACAATAATCTCCCTTGTGTCTACTGCCTTCTATACCACAGGTATTTTTTCCTTCCTCTCTCAAGATCACTGCCTCTGTGTCAAAATCCACCCACACCAGGTAAAATTTATCCACACCAGGTAAAATTTATCCACACCAGGTAAAATTTATCCACACCAGGTAAAATTTATCCACACCAGGTAAAATTTATCCACACCAGGTAAAATTTATCCACACCAGGTAAAATTTATCCACACCAGGTAAAATTTATCTAAACCAGGTAAAATTTATCTACACCAGGTAAAATTTATCCACACCAGGTAAAATTTATCTACCCCAGATAAAATTTATCCACCCCAGATAAAATTTATCTACACCAGGTAAAATTTATCCACACCAGGTAAAATTTATCCACCCCAGATAAAATTTATTTACACCAGGTAAAATTTATCCACCCCAGATAAAATTTATCCACACCAGGTAAAATTTATCCACCCCAGATAAAATTTATCTACACCAGGTAAAATTTATCCACACCAGATAAAATTTATCTACACCAGGTAAAATTTATATTTTGAGATTCCTTTTTTATTTTGATTCCATTAATCTTTTTGTAATCACAAAACAGGTGGTTCTTCCTTCCATTTGTAATTGTATGAACTGTATGAAGGATTCGCATTCTTCCCACAGTTGCGAGTCCAAGTAAAAGAACTGGCAAGCAAACAGCAGTTTCATTTCTTGTATGTTTACTCTTCAAGGTAGTGATTTATGAAGTTAAAGCTACTCAGTCTTTTCTTGGATCAGACTTGATTACCTCCCATTCTTCAGGCACTGTATGACCTTTATGGGTTTAGAGCTTCTTGTGAATATGTTATTATTTTTTTTTATTAACACACTGGCCGATTCCCACCAGGGCAGGGTGGCCCGAAAAAGAAAAACTTTCACCATCATTCACTCCATCACTGTCTTGCCAGAAGGGTGCTTTACACTACAGTTTTTAAACTGCAACATTAACACCCCTCCTTCAGAGTGCAGACACTGTACTTCCCATCTCCAGGACTCAAGTCCGGCCTGCCGGTTTCCCTGAACCCCTTCATAAATGTTACTTTGCTCACACTCCAACAGCACGTCAAGTATTAAAAACCATTCGTCTCCATTCACTCCTATCAAACATACTCACGCATGCTCGCTGGAAGTCCAAGCCCCTCGCACACAAAACCTCCTTTACCCCCTCCCTCCAAGTTTTCCTAGGCCGACCCCTACCCCACCTTCCTTCCACTACAGACTGATACACTCTTGAAGTCATTCTGTTTCGCTCCATTCTCTCTACATGTCCGAACCACCTCAACAACCCTTCCTCAGCCCTCTGGACAACAGTTTTGGTAATCCCGCACCTCCTCCTAACTTCCAAACTACGAATTCTCTGCATTATATTCACACCACACATTGCCCTCAGACATGACATCTCCACTGCCTCCAGCCTTCTCCTCACTGCAACATTCATCATCCATGCTTCACATCCATATAAGAGCGTTGGTAAAACTATACTCTCATACATTCCCCTCTTTGCCTCTTAGGACAAAGTTCTTTGTCTCCACAGACTCCTAAGTGCACTGCTCACCCTTTTCCCCTCATCAATTCTATGATTCACCTCATCTTTCATAGACCCATCCGCTGACATGTCCACTCCCAAATATCTGAATACATTCACCTCCTCCATACTCTCTCCCTCCAATCTGATATCCAATCTTTCATCACCTAATCTTTTTGTTATCCTCATAACCTTACTCTTTCCTGTATTCACTTTTAATTTTCTTCTTTTACATACCCTACCAAATTCATCCATCGTGAACATAATAATAACAATAATAATTGTGTGGGTTGACATTTGCAGCGGCTGGTACGGGCAGTGGGGGTCCTCGGAGCTGAGAAGAATGAGCGTGCTGTGCTAGTGCTCTCCGCTCACTCCTTGCAAAAGTGGTACCTCATTCCTGGGGAACCCGACAAACTTGTGTATGAGTGTAATGTCGAGAAGTACATAAGAGAAGGCTTTGTGGACCACGTGTGGGTAGGTTCACTTGTGTGGTTCACTACTTGATATAAGTGTTGAATGACTTTGTAGGTCAGAGCACTTTAAAAATCTTACTACTTCCTCCCAATTCAATATGGTACATCTACATTTCATTATTTTTATGCATTTTTGGAAGATTTACTGAAGAGATTCGTTGCTTTTTTCTCCCATAAACTGCTACAGTATAAGTATCTCTTAAGAAATATTCCTGTTTAACAGGTGAATAAAATTTCCGTCAACGCTGGAAGAATTTCGTTAAACTTGCAGGGAAATGCACTTAATTAACTTTTTAATCAGTTACTCATAAGTAAAATTAAATGACTCCAGATTTCCCACAGCTTAAAGTTAAATTTTCAGATTTACTTGACTTAAGAAATCGTAATGACACGATTGCAAATAAACCATACCCCCGGCCGGGATTGAACCCGCGGTCATAGAGTCTCAAAACTCCAGCCCGTCGCGTTAGCCACTAGACCAGCTAGCCACAATAAGATTCATCCAACTAGGTATATTTCTACACCATAGGAAAGTTAGCACAGGCACCTCTGTGACCACAAATGCAAGTTTTTACAGACGAATCTCCAGCTAGCGTGGCCGTGACGAACTCTGGAGTTTACCTGGAGAGAGTTCCGGGGGTCAACGCCCCCGCGGCCCGGTCTGAGACCAGGCCTCCTGGTGGATCAGAGCCTGATCAGCCAGGCTGTTGCTGCTGGCTGCACGCAAACCAACATACGAGCCACAGCCCGGCTGATCCGGAACTGACTTTAGGTGCTTGTCCAGTGCCAGCTTGAAGACTGCCAGGGGTCTGTTGGTAATCCCCCTTATGTGTGCTGGGAGGCAGTTGAACAGTCTCGGGCCCCTGACACTTATTGTATGGTCTCTTAACGTGCTAGTGACACCCCTGTTTTTCATTGGGGGGATGGTGCATCGTCTGCCAAGTCTTTTGCTTTCGTAGTGGGTGATTTTCGTGTGCAAGTTCGGTACTAGTCCCTCTAGGATTTTCCAGGTGTATATAATCATGTATCTCTCCCTCCTGCGTTCCAGGGAATACAGGTTTAGGAACCTCAAGCGCTCCCAATAATTGAGGTGTTTTATCTCCGTTATGCGCGCCGTGAAAGTTCTCAAGTCCCTTCACTGCCGTCAACATGACTTAAGAAATCGTAATGACACGATTGCAAATAAACCATACCCCCGGCCGGGATTGAACCCGCGGTCATAGAGTCTCAAAACTCCAGCCCGTCGCGTTAGCCACTAGACCAGCTAGACCGCGGGTTCAATCCCGGCCGGGGGTATGGTTTATTTGCAATCGTGTCATTACGATTTCTTAAGTCATGTTGACGGCAGTGAAGGGACTTGAGCTAGAGTTCGTCACGGCCACGCTAGCTGGAGATTCGTCTGTAAAAACTTGCATTTGTGGTCACAGAGGTGCCTGTGCTAACTTTCCTATGGTGTAGAAATATACCTAGTTGGATGAATCTTATTGTGGCTAGCTGGTCTAGTGGCTAACGCGACGGGCTGGAGTTTTGAGACTCTATGACCGCGGGTTCAATCCCGGCCGGGGGTATGGTTCAGATTTACATATACAGTATACTTTTCCATACATAAATCTTAAAGATGTAACTTAGAAACTTTTCTCCACATACAAAATCAAATATGGTACCTACACTGCCAGGGTCGGGAGCGTGCTGGAGCAACACAGCTGCGGGTGTGGCTGGTGGACATGCAACCCTCTGCTGGTGATTCAACCATTATGGTTCTGGCCGCAGCGGTAAATCCTCAGGTGTCACAGCAGCTGGTGTATGCTCTTGGTAAGTAGAAAATTCAAAACTAAAATCAGACTAGCTAGTATTGTCACTCCGGTGATGATAAAAGTAGCACGATGTGGGCAGCGATTTTTGTGTCACTCATTGCTCTTAATGAATCGTGAAATTGTAGTAACAAAATTACAAACAAACCACGGAATGGGTGGGGTTTGAACTAAAGGCAAGTGAGTTGTTGAACTCCAGGCCAGCGTGTAAGCCACTTGTCCAGCTGGCTACAGTAAGAGTCATGGGGCCCATTCTAACCTTATGGTGTATAGAATACAGTGGTACCTTGGGATACGAACAGCTCGAAACTCAAACAGTTATGTAAGTGTATTTATGTAAGTGCTTTTGTAAGTTTATTTTTGGGGTCTGAAATGCATTAATCTAATTTACATTATTCCTTATGAGAACAAATTCGTTGGGTATCGGCATTCGAACAGCCTTCTGGAACAAATTAAGTTCGTATCCCGAGGTACCACTGTATATCTAATTTGATGAATCTTATTGAGGCCAGCTGACTGAATGGCTTACACACTAGCCTGAAATTTTATGACTCACTCGTCATAGGTTCAAACCCCACCCGTTCCGTGGTTTGTTGCTCTTAATAGCTGCAATAAGCAGCTGTTATAGGGTAAAGAGGCAGACTCCTTACAAGTCATTTTTTAACTCATCCTCTAAGGACATTTATTGTACAGTGGAACCTTGGTTTTCGTATGCCCTAGTTTGTATGGTCATTTTTTAACTCATCCTCTAAGGACATTTATTGTACAGTGGAACCTTGGTTTTCGTATGCCCTAGTTTGTATGTAAAACTATTGTTCTCTATACATGTATAATGTATTTGTTGTTAATATTTTTGGGTGTCTGGAATGGGTTAATTGGATTTACATTATTTCTTATGGGAAATATTAACAAAAAATACATTTTGTAGAGAATAACTAGAGTTTTACACACAAACTAGGGCATATGAAAACTGAGGTTCTACTGTATGACAGAAAATTATAAAATGTTGACCAAATCTGCTGCTTGTGTAATGTAAAAGAAGTTGAACCATCAAATTCATGAGGGTTACGTACCTAGACGTAGGTCTTCGTGAATTCGGTGTAATAAATTTTGATACATTTGGGATTTTGTGCTTTATAAGGACATCTCTCTCTAAGCACTGCTCTAATTTAGTTAATATTGATAGACATAAAAAAGTAATTGGAAAGGAAAAGGAGATTTAGTTGTGAGAAATTCACAGAGCACATTTTGAGCAAAAACTTAATTTTCATTTTAGAGGTTACTGCAAATAATTAGCATTGTTCACAGGTCTTTCAGCAAAATATAGTTGATCAAAGCTTGCAGATTAGAAAGCTTGAAAATTTGTAGGTTTCCCTATACAGGAAGGCCCCACATTTCAGCTTCCCTCTTGTTAGTGTTCAACTATTTCGGCAGTTTTCAGCTGAGCCAGTGTTCATTATGATCAGCACTTTTTCCGCTTTTTTGCGTCAGGGAAGGGCATCTGGTGCCATATTTTCAGGCAAGTATTATTTTTTTTTTTTTTTAATCAAATCGGCCGTCTCCCACTGAGGCAGGGTGCCCAAAAAGAAATAAAATCCCCAAAAAGAAAATACTTTCATCATCATTCAACACTTTCACCTCACCTCAACATTTTCACTGTTTTCGCAGAGGTGCTCATAATACAACAGTTTAGAAGTATATACGGATAAAGATGCACAACATATCCCTCTAAACTGCCAATATCCCGAACCCTTCCTTTAGAGTGCAGACATTATATGTACTGTATATATTCACTTTACTTTAGTTTCTTTTTTTTAAGGCCTGGCTGTATTTAGCACTTAATATATGATAGTGTAAACATGTTCTTAAGCATTTTGTATGCAGTTAATAGTGAAACAAAAGATATAGAAATTATTATTTTTTCTTTGTTTTTATTAACACACTGGCCGATTCCCACCAAGGCAGGGTGGCCCGAAAAAGAAAAGCTTTCATCATCATTCACTCCATCACTGTCTTGCCAGAAGGGTGCTTTACACTACAGTTTTTAAACTGCAACATTAACACCCCTCCTTCAGAGTGCAGACACTGTACTTCCCATCTACAGGACTCGAGCCCGGCCTGCCGGTTTCCCTGAACCCCTTCATAAATGTTACCTTGCTGACACTTCAACAGCATGTCAAGTCCTAAAAACCATTTGTCTCCATTCACTCCTATCTAACATGCTTACGCGTGCTTGCTGGAAGTTCAAGCCCCTCTCACACAAAACCTCCTTTACCCCCTCCCTCCAACTTTTCCTAGGCCAACCCCTACCCCGCCTTCCTTCCACTACAGACTGATACACTCTTGAAATCATTCTGTTTCACTCCATTCTCTCTGTATGTCTGAACCACCTCAACAATCCTTCCTTGGTCATCTGGATAACAGTTTTGGTAATCCCGGACCTCCTCCTAATTTCTAAACCACGAATTCTCTGCATTGTATTCACACCACACATTGCCCTCAGACATGACATCTCCACTGCCTCCAGCCTTCTCCTCGCTGCAACATTCATCACCCATGCTTCACACCCATATAAGAGTGTTGGTATAACTATACTCTCATACATTCCCCTCTTTGCTTCCATGGAAAAAGTTCTTTCTCTTCACAATCTCCTAAGTGCACCACTCACCTTTTTCCCCTCATCAATTTTGTGATTCTCATCTTTCATAGATCCATCTGCTGATACATCCACTCCTAAATATCTGAATACATTCAACTCCTCCATACTCTCTCCTTCCAATCTGATATCCAATCTTCCATTACCTAATTTTTTTTTTGTTATCCTCATCACCTTACTCTTTCCTGTATTCACTTTTAATTTTCTTCTTTTACATACTCTACCAAACTCATCCACCAACCTCTGTTATTGTTGTTTGTTGAATGTGTGTATTTGTATTGTTTGTATGATTTGTTGTGATAGTGCGACCAATATTTTTTTAATATTCTCCGTAGGTAGGCATCGTCGTGTTATGATGGGTTGTTGTTCGGGTACAAAGATGGGGGTGAGAGGGATGGAAGGAGGGTTTGTGGGGGTTTAGGTTGGGTGGGTGTGGTGGCAATGGCTGTTGAAATATTACAACCTAACCACCTCCTACTATTACCCACTTGCCAGCAATTTATACTTATTGAAGGGGGTTGGGAACCTAACCACCAAAAAACAGGGCCCTCCTGTCCTGTATAGCAAGCCTTCAAAAGGTGTTGCCCATTACATCTGTAATACAGTGGTACCCTGAGTTTCATACAGCTCCCAACTCGAACAATTATGTAAGTGTATTATTGTAAGTGCTTTTGTAAGTGTATTTTTGGGGTCTGAAATGGACTAATCTAATTTACAGTATTCCTTATGGGAACAAATTCGTTTGGTAACGACACTCGAACAACCTTCTGGAATGAATTATGTACAAAACTCAGGGTACCACTGTACAGTGGACCCCTGGTTAACGATATTTTTTCACTCCATAAGTATGTTCAGGTGCCAGTACTGACCGAATTTATTCCCATAAGGAATATTGTGAAGTAGATTAGTCCATTTCAGACCCCCAAACATACATGTACAAACGCACTTACATAAATACACTTACATAATTGGTCGCATTCGGAGGTAATCGTTATGCGGGGGTCCACTGTATTTGTATATGTAGACACTTTGCTTTATGATCAGATGTGCCTATGATTCTATGATATTTCTGGGGTTGGTGTTAAAAATTAAATTTTGAGGCTTTACGGTATAGTCTATCCTGTTAGGGTGCTCAATTTACAAAAATAAAATTTTTCAAGTGAAAACTGGACTACTACCTGATGGCTGTGTTAGCCTGTGAGCTACTAGTAGCAACAGCCTAGTTGATTAGCTAATCAGCAAGAAAGTCTGGCCTCAGGTTGATTATTATTATAATCACGGGGGAGTGCTAAACTCGCAGAATTATACAGCGCACGTGGGGGGGGGGGATGGAAGGTATTCAGGCTTAATTCAGGAAACTGGAGCACAGATCAAGAGCCCCTCATCAGCATCAAGGAACCTCCCTTGAGGGAGGCTTCAGGTTGAGCTATGAAGATACAAGAACATTCCAGGTAGTCACAGGTGTATCCCAGGTTATTGAAACTGTATCACTTCTTTACCTTTTGTGATGTGATATACATAAGTTAGCATATACTGTACTGTACTGTGAAGTGTTGGAGACACTGTGGTGATAATGTCAAGGTGAACTGCCGTCTAACTAACCATAGTGCAGTTCACATTATTTAAATTAATAACTTCCTTAGAGCAGACCCACTCTTTAGCATACCTAATATACTTTATAAATCTTCCCCTCTTCAAATTTAATATTTTAAAGGGAATAAGAATTCCTCCAAAGACGCACATTAGTCAATGGCAGCTCGTAACGCCAGTAATATGTATACAGTGGAACCCCGGTTTTCGTATGCCCAAGCATAAGAAATAATGTAAATCCAATTAATCCATTCCAGACACCCAAAAATATTAAAAAAAATACATTTTGTGGAGAATAACCGTGGTTTTACGTGCAAGCTGGGGAATATGAAAACCAAGGTTCCAATGTACTATCACACCACATCAGACGTCTATTTTTAGTCATTTTGTATCTCATTCCAACAAAAAAAAAAATAAAAAGTTCACTCGTGTAGAAAATGGTGTGTAAACCTGACCACAAAACAGTCAGAGAATAACGCTCTACCAAACTTTATTTACATACACATAACTTATAAGATTTCCAGGAAAACTTTTTGGTGTGAAGTAAGTTTTAGAAACTATTATGGAAAAACTGCAGTAATGGTACACTAGAGCCAACACTGAAAATTGCACACAGTGATCTCTGCTCCTGTGTTTCCATATAGGTAATAACAGTGAAAGATAGTACACAAGCAACTAAAATTTATTTTAAGATTGAACCTTCGTTTTGTATTTTTTAACTTGTTAGTTGTAGACTGTATATCACTTTCAAAGGTTTGAAGTGTCCAGGTATTTACTGGTATATACACGTGCATTTTTCACAAGCTCGTATAGTACTATGGGTTTAGCTCCTTTCCATTAATATAATTATCAGGGGCTCCTAAGTATCAAATAAAAAGCAGAGGATGTTTTGATTTTGTCTTGGATCATTATTGAACAGATATATGTTGCTTCAAGGGGAGGTCCCTTGATGCTGGTGGAGGACTCTTGCTCCATGGAATTGGAGCTACCATCTTATTCCCAAGTACTGTAAGACCCCTTCAGGTTTAGTGCTCCACCATGGTAATTAAGTGAGGGAGAGAAAATTTGTAAAGCAGACCGGCTGAGGGGTGGCTATGTTCTATATCTTATTATATACTTCCGCAGGTGCTGGATGACCCATATGGTCATCCAGCACCTGGGAATGAAAGGCAATCATTCTTGATGGTAGTGCCAAGTCCCTGGATCAAGAGTACTTCATGAGCATTAAAGCAGTCTCTCCTCTCCCCTCTCCTTAAGTGGTCCCTAAATTATCAGGTTATGAGAGAGGAAAATACACTTAGTAAGAGGGCACCAGTAGGTAAAGGTTGGAAAGTTTGCTGATGGCAGAAAAGTAGAATAAAATGGCAAGAAGAGAAATTGTCTAGGAACTCTAAATTGTTACATATTATTATTATTATTATTTTTATTATAATCAAAAAGAAGCGCTAAGCCAAAATTGTTACATAGGTGCAGGTAGGATACTCTTGGTAGAAGAACTGACTGTACTGTACATGTATATTGATGAGGTGGAGGCATTAATGTTTGATCCAATGCCTTTTTATTAAATGTCTTTCACTAGATTTGCTGGCATTAAGGCATTCAACCTTGAAGGGCCACTGTGCATAGGTTTATAGTACACATCATGGGCATACAGCAGACCATTAGGTATGAACTTCACTGAAAGGAATTATGCCCCACTAAGCCTTAATATTTATTGATTATCTCTTTTTGTTAAGGGAATTAAACCCCTCAAGGAAGGTTCCTTGATGTTGGTGAGGGGCTCTTGATTTAGGGAATTGGATCTGTGCTCCAGTTCCCCGAATTAAGCCTGAATGCCTTCCACATATCCCCCCCAGGCGCTGTATAATCCTCCGGGTTTAGCACTTCCCCCTTGATTATAATAATAAGGGAATTAAATGAAACAGTTATTATATATTGTATTTAATATAACAAAAATGGAAAACTAATGCCTAGAAGAGATCACAGTAAAAATTTACCAGTGTTCATTTTGTAGTATATACAACTAATATTTTATAATGTGCTCATTTAAGAGGTGACATCTTGATTAATATTGATCATAATTTTCTATTTTAAATTTGTTTTGTAAAGTTTGCTGAAAAAGGACAAAATAATCAGGGAATACTGGAGACAGTTTTACCATTAGGATCAGTTATCTATTTCATTTCCAGGATGTACATAATTTTATTTTCGAAATGTGTACTTTCAGCCTCATACTTAAGTCTATTAGTCTCGTGTGTAAATAATAGATCATGCAGCAAATGAATGCTACATTTGTACATTTGCATGATTGCATGGTAATGTACTCAGTTAAGTGTTTCTCCTTTTGTAACTCTTGCTTCAAGGTACTCAATGCGCCGCTCCAACATAGTCAACTTCTCATTGAGTTGACTTAATTTTGATCTGCATGACATATCAAAGCTGTTCAGAAACTCAGCAATTCTCTTGATATTGCTGGTGATGACCTAGAAAAAAAAATCAAGGGTATTACTTTAATAGAGTAATATAATAATTTATTAAACATAAATACACGAGCTAATTTGTAGGGTTTGCTGGTCTATTTCTTTAATTTCCCTAAATATGTTGACTGGTCTTTAAGACTTGCTTTTCTTTTAACTAATATTGCATTTGTTCTGAAAGTAGTAGTAGTAGTAATAGTAGTAGTAGTAGTAGCAGTATTGTTATTATTTTTTTTTTTTCAACAAGTCGGTCGTCTCTCACTAAACCCGGAGGATTATACAGCACCTGGGGGGGGGGGGGATGTGGAAGGCATTCAGGCTTAATTTGGGGAACTGGAGCACAGATCCAATTCCCTAAATCAAGAGCCCCTCACCAACATCAAGGAACCTTCCTTGAGGGGGGCAGTAGTAGTAGTTATCTTCCCCAATAACTCAGTGGTTAGGTTATACTATATTGATAACTTCCGAGTCTTAACAAGTGAATTTTTCTTTAGCTCTATTAGGACCCAAGTCAAAATAATCACTTTTTCTCTGGTTAGTTTAGCATTAGACCTGCAATGAACAGGGTTAGTAGGAACAAATTTCTGAAAATTAGTCGGTGAACAAGTTTTCTAAGCTAAAGTTAGATAAATTATTTAAGTGTCATATAAAATACCTTCCAACTTAAATATCTTCAATTGATGAAAGAAAGTAGCATTTAACAGAGGTATTTGACAGGTAACATAATTTGATTTTCAGTTAAAACAGCTTCAAAGAAAATAGCACATCATAAATTTTAGGACATGTATATAATACATGATATTAGGGTTGTTTAAGTTAATCTCCTTAAACTAGACCTGAACCATAGTTAAGTTATAGCTTGCTTCTAAGTTATATTCAGCTGGGTACAAAGTACTGTGAAAATGTATAGGTTTATATCAGAGGCCAGAGTTCCTGGTGTTGGGTGTTGAGTGACTACATTCTTATGAAAGATCCAGTCATATCTGAAGTCAGGTGCTTATATGTGGGGTATCAAGATACAGTAGATACTCCAGTTAATTCATTGCTTTATGTTGTCTGTAAAAGTTGCTTTAAATGTAATACTACCTTCAATGAGGCTTTTAACATTACATAAAATGTTGAATTCAGAAGAAAACTGCATGATTTTACCTCAATGTATTCACGATTAATCCAGTCTTGCTTGATTTGTTGTGTAATAACTTGATTGCGGGCCGACATCCTGTTTATTGTTGTAGATTTACTGAAACAAGTAAAACAGAAAAGTTGCTTATGAAGACAGACCATAATATCAATGGATATTTTACAAATGCCTAGTTGGTGATAGGACTAATGTCTTGTTTATACTACTACATATTTAATGTATAAATTGGTACGTAAGAGGATGGCAATATATATAAACTACGTGCATGAACCTGGGATTAAGGGTAGTAAGGGTAGGGAAGGGGTCACCCCAGAAATAATTTGAGGGAAGCAGTAAAGGAAGCTTCAGTAAGAATTTTAACGGAACTAAGCATCCAGCAGACTTGTGTGAATGGAAAAAAAGTGGACGACGGGATAGCATAGCTCTACTCATGTAGCCACAGATGAGTAATTAAAACGTGTAGTTCATACATCTGAAGCCTAAAATATAATTTTCGTGGAAATGCCGACAACATTTGAAAAATATCTTTACTTATTACTTCAAAAATGTCGCTGCAAAGATGATTTTGTAATGAGAATTATTTTACCAACAAATTTTGAGAGCATTAAACTCCATAACCACTTTGCACCTTTATATATCAACATCATTGACATAATGTTAGTATATATTCTTATGAATTTATAGTACAGTGGTTGATAAGAGGTGTGGCTGGACATACAGACGATAGGGAAAAGTCGGATGACTAGGAGGGCATATAAATCTGTGATAGATCAAATTTTGTTGGAACAGTGGTACCCCGAATTTCGGCCATAATTTGTTCCAGAAGGCTGTTTGAGTGCCGTTACGGAACGAATTTGTTCCAATAAGGAATAATGTGAATTACATTAGTCTGTTTCAGACCCCCAAAAATACGCTTAAAAAAGTGCTTACAAAAATACACTTAAATAATTGTTCGAGTTGGGAGCTGTATGAAACTTGAGGCACCACTGTACGTATTTTTAACCCAGGGTAGGGTGTGTTAGCCACCCAGGGTAGGGTGTGTTAGCCACCCAGGGTAGGGAGTGTTAGCCACCCAGGATAGGGAGTGTTAGCCACCCAGGGTAGGGAGCATTAGCCACCCAGGGTAGGGTGTGTTAGCCACCCAGGATAGGGAGTGTTAGCCACCCAGGGTAGGGAGCATTAGCCACCCAGGGTAGGATGTGTTAGCCACCCAGGGTAGGGTGTGTTAGCCACCCAGGGTAGGGTGTGTTAGCCACCCAGGATAGGGAGTGTTAGCCACCCAGGGTAGGGAGCATTAGCCACCCAGGGTAGGGAGTGTTAGCCACCCAGGGTAGGGAGTGTTAGCCACCCAGGGTAGGGAGTGTTAGCCACCCAGGGTAGGGTGTGTTAGCCACCCAGGGTAGGGTGTGTTAGCCACCCAGGGTAGGGTGTGTTAGCCACCCAGGGTAGGGTTTGTTAGCCACCCAGGGTAGGGAGCGTTAGCCACCCAGGGTAGGGTGTGTTAGCCACCCAGGGTAGGGTGTGTTAGCCACCCAGGATAGGGAGTGTTAGCCACCCAGGGTAGGGAGTGTTAGCCACCCAGGGTAGGGAGTGTTAGCCACCCAGGGTAGGGAGTGTTAGCCACCCAGGGTAGGGAGTGTTAGCCACCCAGGGTAGGGTGTGTTAGCCACCCAGGGTAGGGTGTGTTAGCCACCCAGGGTAGGGAGTGTTAGCCACCCAGGATAGGGAGCATTAGCCACCCAGGGTAGGGAGTGTTAGCCACCCAGGGTAGGGAGTGTTAGCCACCCAGGGTAGGGAGTGTTAGCCACCCAGGGTAGGGAGTGTTAGCCACCCAGGGTAGGGAGTGTTAGCCACCCAGGATAGGGAGCATTAGCCACCCAGGGTAGGGAGTGTTAGCCACCCAGGGTAGGGAGTGTTAGCCACCCAGGGTAGGGAGTGTTAGCCACCCAGGGTAGGGAGTGTTAGCCACCCAGGGTAGGGAGTGTTAGCCACCCAGGGTAGGGTGTGTTAGCCACCCAGGGTAGGGAGCGTTAGCCACCCAGGGTAGGGAGTGTTAGCCACCCAGGGTAGGGAGTGTAAGCCACCCAGGGTAGGGAGTGTTAGCTACCCAGGGTAGGGAGTGTTAGCCACCCAGGGTAGGGAGTGTTAGCCACTCAGGGTAGGGAGTGTTAGCCACCCAGGGTAGGGAGTGTTAGCCACCCAGGGTAGGGAGTGTTAGCCACCCAGGGTAGGGAGTGTTAGCCACCCAGGGTAGGGAGTGTTAGCCACCCAGGGTAGGGAGTGTTAGCCACCCAGGGTAAGGTGTGTTAGCCACCCAGGGTAGGGAGCGTTAGCCACCCAGGGTAGGGAGCGTTAGCCACCCAGGGTAGGGAGTGTTAGCCACCCAGGGTAGGGAGTGTTAGCCACCCAGGGTAGGGAGTGTTAGCCACCCAGGGTAGGGAGTGTTAGCCACCCAGGGTAGGGAGTGTTAGCCACCCAGGGTAGGGAGTGTTAGCCACCCAGGGTAGGGAGTGTTAGCCACCCAGGGTAGGGAGTGTTAGCCACCCAGGGTAGGGAGCATTAGCCACCCAGGGTAGGGAGCGTTAGCCACCCAGGGTAGGGAGTGTTAGCCACCCAGGGTAGGGAGCGTTAGCCACCCAGGGTAGGGAGCGTTAGCCACCCAGGGTAGGGAGCGTTAGCCACCCAGGGTAGGGAGCGTTAGCCACCCAGGGTAGGGAGTGTTAGCCACCCAGGGTAGGGTGTGTTAGCCACCCAGGGTAGGGAGTGTTAGCCACCCAGGATAACACAAGAGTCAGTACATCATCCAGGACTGTCATATTTCCATTGTGGTCCTTTAATCTTCTCCCCCAGGATGCCACCCACACCACCACACCCCAGACACTCAGCGTGTAAGACAAGTGCGTTACCAACCAAGCCACGGGTCATGACTTCTTACAAGTATATCCACCAGTTATCCAGCAACAGTTTAGGTCAAAGGTCATGTTAGTGTTGGTCATTACATTAACATAATTTACGCCGATATCTTAACCAGTGTGAAAATATCGGCGACTTCTCCCGATATTGAGGACTTGAGGTCGGTGAGATCACTGGGATAATTAGCTAGATTTTGGGCACCAAATAGGGAATATCCATGCAGTTTAATATTATTTATATTTTTTGTTGTGCTCAAGCCATTGGTCCAAGATACAACAATGTAAAATATTTAATATAAAAGTTTGAAAATAGACCGAAAATAAAAGTCGATCAAAAAAATGGAAATACAGTATTTGTAAGTTTATTCTAGGTTGAAGATTAATAATATATCACCACAACATGAACAGTAATATGATTAATTAACTTAACAATGGAATATAAAAGAAAAGTTTGTGAAAAAACAGTTAATTTAACCTGAACAATAATGAAGGAACAATCAGCTGAGAGACAATGTTTACAAACTGAGGCGCCGCCGCTGCTGCCACCTGACGTCCACCACCCTAACTAAATGCGCGCCATTTATGAATCTTTTTGTTTTTTACATGACTTATACAGTGCCTGCACTCTGAAGGAGGGGTGTTAATGTTGCAGTTTAAAAACTGTAGTGTAAAGCACCCTTCTGGCAAGACAGTGATGGAGTGAATGATGGTGAAAGTTTTTCTTTTTTGGGCCACCCTGCCTTGGTGGGCCACCCTGCCTTGGTGGGCCACCCTGCCTTGGTGGGCCACCCTGCCTTGGTGGCCACCCTGCCCTGGTGGCCACCCTGCCCTGGTGGCCACCCTGCCTTGGTGGGCCACCCTGCCTTGGTGGGAATCGGCCAGTGTGATAATAAAAAAAAAAAATAAAAAATGACTTATACAAAGTTTATTTGGGTACAGGTATACATAAATACAATTATATTATCATACATAGCAGCATGTGTGTAGATTACCCACCAGGTTAACCCAAAAAAGTCTGTGATTTATTTCCAATGGGATCATTTTTTTTTTTTATTTGGACATGATACATAGGTACACAAATAACCTGCACATAGAAGAGAGGAGCTTACGACGACGTTTCGGTCCAACTTGGACCATTTACAAAGTCACACTAACCAGAAGTGGAGCAGGGCGGCTATATATAGGCAAGAAGAGGTAGTGGTGGTAGTAGAAGTAGTGGTAGAGGTGGTAGTGGTAGTAGTAGTAGTAGTAGGGAATTAAGGAGGAGGAGCCAGTCAGATACAAAGAAAGGGGAGCACTGCAAGGACGCTAGGTGCCCACAGAGGGAGAGCAAGTGCACAGAGGTGGGGGGAAGGGGAAGTGATGAAATAAATAATGAAGGAACAGAATCACGCAACGGAAGAAAGAAAGACAAAAAAGGAAAGAGGAAAGGGGAAAAGGGAGACGAACAAAAAATGAGTCGTGGCTTCGTCTCTGTAGATGCCTTCCTCTCCCACTACATTGTAAAATGCTCCAAACTTCAGAACACCCGTGACTTAACTTGTTTCCTCATTTTTTTTCTTCTCCCTTTTCTCATTTCCTCTTTCCTTTTTTGTCTTTCTTTCTTTTGTCGCGTGTTTCTGTTCCTTCATTATTTATATCATCACTTCCCTTTTTCCCCACCTCTGTGTACTTGCTCTCCCTCTGTGAGCACCTAGCTGCCTTGCAGTGCTCCCCTTTCTTTGTATTTGACTGGCTCCTCCTCCTTAGTTTACTACTACTACTACTACTACTACTACTACTACTACTACTACTACTACTACTACTACTACTACTACTACTACTATTACTACTGCTGCTGCTGCTACTACTACTGCTGCTGCTGCTGCTGCTACTACTACTACTACTACTACTACTACTACTACTACTACTACTACTACTACTACTACTACTACTACTACTACTACTACCACCACCACCACTACCACTCCCACTACCACCTCTACCACTACTTCTACTACCACCACTACCTCTTCCTGCCAATATATAGCCATCCTGCTCCACTTCTGGTTAGTGTGACTTTGTAAATGGTCCAAGTCGGACCGAAATGTTGTCGTAAGCTTCTCTCTTCTATGTGCAGGTTATTTGTGTATTGTTCCAGTCACGGTATTGTGCCTTTTTTGTTATTTATGATACATAGGTGTACAAAGAAATACAGTGGTTGAGTGTACATGCCAAAAGTCCCTTGTATGCAGAGCATTATGGGCAGCTTAAAATTAACTTAATCTTAACTAAACAATGATATATTCAGTGGTAAAAAATACAGTAAACAAATTACAACATGAAGTACAAAGCTTTATAGTTGTACAAATTTGTAGCATAACAATGTATAATATAATCGACTCAGATCGAGTAAAATCAATGATTTGTAGTGCAGAAACAGGTCATATGGTCATTAGATGAGTTACTGTGCATTCAAGAGAATGGGTATACAAAGTAAGTTTATTTAGGTACAGGTATACATAGATACAGTTACATTATCATACATAGCAGCATGTGTGTATATTACCCACCAGATTAACCCAAAAAAGTCTGTGATTTATTTCCATTGGGATCCTTGTAATAACTTATTATATAAACCTTAACCTTTAAACGGTCCAAACAGATCAACGTTCAAATTCGTAGCTACAAAAGTAGATCTACTTTTTTTTTACATATTTTCAAATATAACCAAAAAAAAAATGTAGATAAAAGTTTTTTTACACGTTTTCAAATGTAAAACAAAAAAAGATCTACATTTTTTACATACTTTCAGATGTTGAAAAAACGTATATATACGTTTGGACCATTTAAGGGTTAAAAGTTAAAACAGCAAACTAACTTTACCATGTGAAAAGCAGTTACAATAAAACAAGATATACAGTGGAGCCCCGGTTTACGATATTATTTCATTCCCGAAGTATGTTCAGGTGCCATTACTGAACGAATTTGTTCCCATAAGGAATATTGTGAATTAAATTAGTCCATTTCAGACCCCCAAACCTACACATACAAACGCACTTACATAAATACACTTACATAATTGGTCGCATTGGGAGCTGATCGTAAACCAGGGGTCCACTGTACTAGGAATAAAGTATATTGAGTTGTTTACATTTACATAGAGGATTGGATCACAGTAATAGGTACATGTGATGTTAGGTATACTGTACAAGCAATCACCCTCCTCCCTTTCTGTTGCTACATTCATTAGGTACACTTTGGCTCTCTGATTGAACTGGCTCATGCTAGGACAAGCTTTGACATGTGCAGGCTATTTTTATGTTTTATTGACGGCTTTGGTGGGATTTGAGCTCGAGTTCATTACGGCCTTGCTGGCGGGAGATTCATCTGTAAAAACTTGCATTTGTGGTCACAGTGGTGCCTATGCTAACCTAATGCTCAAGGACACACTCGTATAAGTTGGTTCTGACTTGACTCAGGAGTACCAGGGGGGCTCACCCCCATAGAAGGGCATGAGTAATTTCAGGGGGAGGCACAATCCCATAGCAAAAATAAAGAATGTGTTGAGTATTTGTGATTTTATTTTATTTAAATAAAAAGGGTCTTTTAATTTTTACATTTAGGATTTTATATGAAAGAAGAAGGGGGGTGTGGGGATGAGGACCAACTGCAGTAGGAGGTGCAACCAAGTACGTACAGGTTGATAATCACTGTCTCTACCATGTGCTGCTATTCTATCACTCTTCTGAGTGGAGTTCTATTAAAGGCCATACGTACTGAAGTTTGCATGCACTTGTATTTTCGTCTTCAGCTTCAGATACCTTAGTGAAATGGGTTAGTAAATTTGTAAGGCAAGAAAGCCCCTTTGTAAAATCAAGTTGGGATTCATTGATCAAATTATATTTAAGGTAACTTCAAATTCCACTTTCAAATATTAGTAACATCAACTATTCTCCTCAGTTGACGTTAGGCTGGCAATCCCATAGCTTTAAATTGTAGGCCTATCTCCTGCCTTGTATCACATTTGCCATTTTCTACTTAGCTGGTATGATACCCATTTGTAGTGACATGTTGACAAAACTAGCTAGTGGCTTTCTAACTTCCATATACTTCCATATACTTACAGTACAATACAGTACGTATTAGGTTTTTATTACAAAATTCTAGGGAGGGCAATACACAAATAACCTCCACATAAGAACATAAGAATGAAGGAACACTGCAGCAGGTCTACTGGCCCATGCGAGGCAGGTCCAAGTCTCTTACTGCCTTAAGTCAATGATCCAACCAAATCAGGTCAGGTCACATCCACTTAGGGAAGGAGCACAGCATCAGACCTATTAGCACAAGCTAGTCAGGTCTAACTCACACCCACTCATATATTTATATAACCTATTTTTAAAGCTACTCAATGCTTTAGCTTCTATGATGGTACTTGGGAGTTTGTTCCACTCATCCACAATTCTATTACCAAACCAGTGCTTTCCTATATCCTTCCTGAATCTGAATTTTTCCAACTTAAAACCATTCCTGTGAGTCTTGTCTTGGCTAGATATTTTTAGCACACTATTTACATTCCCATTATTTATTCCTGTTTTCCATTTATACAGCTCGGTCATATCTCCCCTAATTCTACGCCTTTCTAGAGAGTGCAGATTCAGGGCCTCAGTCTATCCTCGTAGGGAAGATTTCTGATACATGGGATCAACTTTGTTATCCTCCTTTGTACATTTTCCAGAGCATTTATATTCATTCTGTAATTAAGGATATATAGAGTTGAAGAACAACCTGAGGACTTCTGTTATTTATTTATGCTTCTTGATGTGAAGCTAAGAATTCTCTTTGCTTTATTGCAAACACTTATGCACTTATACATTTATCAAAGCATTTCTCTAAATAAGATACACCAGCATTGAAGGTTTGAAACCACTTGGATAAGGCATTTAGTTGTTTAGCACCTTTATAGGCATTTGTCTTTTTTCCTTGGTGGAAAATAATTCTCTTTTATCCAAAGTTCTAACATATTTGATTATTGTAGTCTCCTTGCCACAGTGGAAAAATAAAATTGAATTTTCCTGTGCCTGCAGCTACGATGGAAACTGGTGGCAATAGTCCCCCTTTGACGGTGAGCAACTTCTCTGTGTTGAAGCACTCTGAATACTACCAGGAATCTGCAGAGAATGTTCTCTTGGCCCAGCGGTTTATACTGTGCTTCAACACTGCCTACATTTATAATAAAAATACAGTACTCTGTGTTTCAGGTTGGTTATGTTATTGTACTTTTTGTGGGGCTTTCTTAAAGTTCTTTGCATTCTAAAATTTACAATTGTAATTGGATTTGTGTTGAGCTGTGAATTTATCTGCAGGAGCAGTACGTCACAGTTCAGCAAGTGCTCTTATTAGGCTTGCTTTCAGTTTAAAACTTAATTAACACTGTACATATTTCTTCACCTACTTTTTTTGTCCTGTGCAGTACATGTCTTGTTATTATTATTATAATCAAAAAGAAGCACTAAGCCACAAGGACTATACAGACATTGTCTTGTACAAGTGATAATGTTATATTTGTGTACCACATGCTGGAGACAGTCTTGTCTTTTATTTATCTCATAGTTTATGGGAGCTTATGGCAAATAGTATTAAGGATATAAGAATGCAGGAACATTGCAGCAGGCCTAATGACCCATACAAGGCAGGTCCTTCTCTATCCCAACTATTCCCACCCACCTATTTAATAGAAGTTTAGTGTAAGATATGGCTAATAAAATTTGGTTGTATTTCAGCGGTGGGGGAAGGTGACAGTGGAGACCGTGTGGAATTCTCTGGGGCCGGAGACAGCATCCTTGGGGTAGGCCGTTCTAAGGGCCTTCCTTTGTTTTTTTCTGCAAATCATGGCATTGTCTCCATTTCTGCCAACCAGCACCTCAACCAATCAGGGTAAGCTGATTATATTATTATATACCCTTAGGGATCATCCTGCAGTCTGTGGATTACAGTGTGCCGAACTAATGAATAAAAAGTCACAATACTGTGACTGGATAATTACGCAAATAACCCGCACACAGGAAAAAAAAAACGATAAACCATTAACCTGTAAACGGTCCAGGCAGATCTACGTTCACATGCGTAATGCTCCAAAAGTAGATCTACATTTTTTTACACATTTTCAAATATAACAAAAAAAAAAGTAGATCAAAGTTTTTTACACATTTTTAAATGTAAAAAAGAAAAAAGAAGATCTAATTTTTTTACATACTTTCAAATGTTGAAAAAATGTATATATATGTTTGGACCGTTTACGGGTTAACTAGTTAATGTTTCAAGTTGGAACAAAACATCGTCCTCATTTTTTCTCCTATGTGTTGGTTTTATTATTTTTTTTTTATTAACACACTGGCCTATTCCCACCAAGGCAGGGTGGCCCGAAAAAGAAAAACTTTCACCGTCATTCACTCCATCACTGTCTTGCCAGAAGGGTGCTTTACACTACAGTTTTTAAACTGCAACATTAACACCTCTCCTTCAGAGTGCAGACACTGTACTTCCCATCTCCAGGACTCAAGTCCGGCCTGCTGGTTTCCCTGAATCCCTTCATAAATGTTACTTTGCTCACACTCCAACAGCACGTCAAGTATTAAAAACCAATTGTCTCCATTCACTCCTATCAAACACGCTCACGCATGCCTGCTGGAAGTCCAAGCCCCTCGCACACAAAACCTCCTTTACCCCCTCCCTCCAACCTTTCCTAGGCCGACCCCTACCCCGCCTTCCTTCCACTACAGACTGATACACTCTTGAAGTCATTCTTGTTTCGCTCCATTTTCTCTACATGTCCGAACCACCTCAACAACCCTTCCTCAGCCCTCTGGACAACAGTTTTGGTAATCCCGCACCTCCTCCTAACTTCCAAACTACGAATTCTCTGCATTATATTCACACCACACATTGCCCTCAGACATGACATCTCCACTGCCTCCAGCCTTCTCCTCGCTGCAACATTCATCACCCACGCTTCACACCCATATAAGAGCGTTGGTAAAACTATACTCTCATACATTCCCCTCTTTGTCTCCAAGGACAAAGTTCTTTGTCTCCACAGGCTCCTAAGTGCACCACTCACCCTTTTCCCCTCATCAATTCTATGATTCACCTCATCTTTCATAGACCCATCCGCTGACATGCCCACTCCCAAATATCTGAATACATTCACCTCCTCCATACTCTCTCCCTTCAATCTGATATCCAATCTTTCATCAGCTAATTTTTTTGTTATCCTCATAACCTTACTCTTTCCTGTATTCACCTTTAATTTTCTTCTTTTGCACACCCTACCAAATTCATCCACCAATCTCTGCAACTTCTCTTCAGAATCTCCCAAGAGCACAGTGTCATCAGCAAAGAGCAACTGTGACAACTCCCACTTTATGTGTGATTCTTTATCTTTTAACTCCACGCCTCTTGCCAAGACCCTCGCATTTACTTCTCTTACAACCCCATCTATAAATATATTAAACAACCACGGTGACATCACACATCCTTGTCTAAGGCCTACTTTTACTGGGAAATAATTACCCTCTTTCCTACATACTCTAACTTGAGCCTCACTATCCTCGTAAAAACTCTTCACTGCTTTCAGTAACCTACCTCCTACACCATACACCTGCAACATCTGCCACATTGCCCCCCTATCCACCCTGTCATACGCCTTTTCCAAATCCATAAATGCCACAAAGACCTCTTTAGCCTTATCTAAATACTGTTCACTTATATGTTTCACTGTAAACACCTGGTCCACACACCCCCTACCTTTTCTAAAGCCTCCTTGGTCATCTGCTATCCTATTCTCCGCCTTACTCTTAATTCTTTCAATAATAACTCTACCATACACTTTACCAGGTATACTCAACAGACTTATCCCCCTATAATTTTTGCACTCTCTTTTATTCCCTTTGCCTTTATACAAAGGAACTATGCATGCTCTCTGCCAATCCCTAGGTACCTTACCCTCTTCTATACATTTATTAAATAATTGCACCAACCACTCCAAAACTGTATCCCCACCTGCTTTTAACATTTCTATCTTTATCCCATCAATCCCGGCTGCCTTACCCCCTTTCATTTTACCTACTGCCTCACGAACTTCCCCCACACTCACAACTGGCTCTTCCTCACTCCTACAAGATGTTATTCCTCCTTGCCCTATACACGAAATCACAGCTTCCCTATCTTCATCAACATTTAACAATTCCTCAAAATATTCCCTCCATCTTCCCAATACCTCTAACTCTCCATTTAATAACTCTCCTCTCCTATTTTTAACTGACAAATCCATTTGTTCTCTAGGCTTTCTTAACTTGTTAATCTCACTCCAAAACTTTTTCTTATTTTCAACAAAATTTGTTGATAACATCTCACCCACTCTCTCATTTGCTCTCTTTTTACATTGCTTCACCACTCTCTTAACCTCTCTCTTTTTCTCCATATACTCTTCCCTCCTTGCATCACTTCTACTTTGTAAAAACTTCTCATATGCTGGTGTACTGTGTAATGTCAGGCTAGACTTCCTGGTTGACTGCTCGGCCAATCAGGTTGTTGGTGCTGGCGGCATGCATTTTAGTGTAGGCACCACAACCTGGCTGCTTAGAAAGTTTGAAGTTAGTTGCCTGTTAGTAATAATTCTACACTTTTACTTGAAAGTTTTGATAGCTTTCCAGTTTAAAGTTTGTTTCTTGACAACATAGGGAATGACTCTTATTGATAATGTACTAATTTAAAGTATGTGTTACAACAGTTACATTTCCACTTATCATTTTCACCACCAGTCTCTTGTTTATGTGTTTATACGCTAACAGTGCACATAGACGCAGTGCACATAGACGCAGTGCACATAGGCACATTGCACATAGGCGCATTGCACATAGGCGCATTGCACATAGGCGCAGTGCACATAGGCGCATTGCACATAGGCGCATTGCACATAGGCGCAGTGCACATAGGCACAGTGCACATAGATGCAGTGCACATAGATGCAGTACACATAGACACTGTGCACATACACAGTGCACATACAATGCATACATACACAATGCATACATACACAATGCATACATACACAATGCACACATGCACAATGCACACATGCACAATGCACACATGTACAATGCACACATGCACAATGCACACATGCACAATGCACACATGTACAATGCACACATGCACAATGCACACATGTACAATGCACACACACAATGCACACACGTACAATGCACACACTTACAATGCACACACGTACAATGCACACACGTACAATGCACACACGTACAGTGCACACACGCACAATGCACACACGCACAATGCACACACGTACAATGCACACACGCACAATGCACACACGCACAATGCACACGCACAATGCACACACGCACAATGCGCACGCACGCACGCACCACACACACACACACACACACACACACACACACACACACACCACACACACACACACACACACACACACACACACACACACACACACACACACACACGCATTTGCACACAGAAGGGAAGTCGAAGGCTCAGGGGATCAGAGGAAGATGGTCTTGGTAAGGAAGAATGGATGGAAGAGCACTCCAGGAAGATGTGAATAGATTGATGCAGTGGTCGGAAAAGTGGCAGATGTAGTTTAACCCGTAAATGGTCCAAACGTATATGTATATGTTTTTACCGCTAGTGTCCCAAATGTATATATACGTTTTATTTTTCCTGCCTTCAAATTTGGCAGGATTGGCCTGAGATGCCTTGTCAGTATAGAATGGATCCTAACACTCAGTGTGTGCGGTATTAAAAAAATCTGGGGCCACTTAGTACCTTGTGGGAGCACCAGTTCAAATGAGCGCCTGCTAGAGCAAACAGCGCAGCAAACACCTGGGATTCACTGATGTCATGTAGTATTAACACTCCCATTTTTAAGAGGAAAGTGATTTTGACCCTGAGTTTAGTGGCTTTGAGGTGGATGTGGCCACAAGTGATCGAGGAAATATCAAAAAACCTCGATAATAACCCACGTGTAATATTTGTGCAACACCCTTTCAGAATGTCTTATAACCTATGCACTAAGTAAAGAGAAATAATTCTGGCTGGCTGCCTGGCTGGATGACTGACTAACTGATTGGCTGGCTAGCTGGCTGGCCAGCTGCGTGGTGGCCAGCTGTGTGGCTGGCCGGCTGCTGGCGGCCTGGCTCTATCTCTGTTTGTCTGTCTGTATCTCTGTCTATTTGCCTCTATCTCTGTCTCTGGCTATCCCTGTCTATCTCTTTCTATCTGTCTATCTCTGTCTCACAGGTACACATAAATACAAGTATACATAGTGTAAATTACCTAGGATAACCCAAAAAATCCAGACAGAGTGCTATACTCTGCTTGAAGATGTGAGTAAATGTGACGACGCAGTCTTGTGGCTCTGAGACAGAGAGCTAGATGGATAGACAGGGAGCTTGACAGACAGACAAATAGACAGACATGTTTGTGTACCAGCGAAAACAAAGGAGGGCAGTGCTCATCAAATGTCACCTCTAATCTTTTCTTATCTGCTGCACCCTCCCCCACCCTCGTGTATGCTCATCAAACTTCAGCTCTTATCAGATGTTATCTCAAATTATCACGTCACTGTCAGGGTGGACTTTGTTTTTCATGCTTCAAGGCAACTTATTATTTTATTATTGTTAAATATTTTTCTTCTCCTTCTTCTCCTTATTTTATTATTATTATGTATTTTCCTCCACCTCTCCACCTCCCTCCCTCCCTCCACCTCCCTCCCTCCACCTCCCTCCCTCCCTCCACCTCCCTCCCTCCACCTCCCTCCCTCCCTCCACCTCCCTCCCTCCCTCCACCTCCCTCCCTCCACCTCCCTCCCTCCCTCCACCTCCCTCCCTTCCTCCACCTCCCTCCTTCCCTCCCTCCAAAACATTGCTGGGATATATAAATACTTTGCATATATTCCAAGACAATAGTAAATGGCCAAGGCAGGTGCAAATGTTCATCTGTCAGTGTGTTAGTGACAATTTCAGTACCTAATACTAGTGTCAGAACAAACATTGGTTATCAAATAACAAGAACTACTATAAATTGTATTTATCTGAACATAAAAATTTATAAAATAATATGAAAAATAGAAAAAAAGGTATATTGGCAACACTTTTGCAAGCGGCAGCGCTCCATGCTGCTGTCAGGTGATCGCTAAGTGCCAGCTTTGCTGCCTCATATCTCGGTAAGTACCGACTCTAAAAAATTTTTTTTATCCTATAACACTTAGAAAAATGTACTTTTTTTTTTCCAATAAAAAAAAAAAAACGTTTTTGATATTTTTCAAAATATTCGGGGCACTGGGGTAGTGAACGTATATATACATTTGGACCGTTTACAGGTTAATAAAGACAAATGCAAAGTTCTAAACATTGGACAAGAAAATACCCATGCCACGTAAAATAATAATGTAGATCTTAATATTACTGACTGCAAAAAGGATTTGAGAGTTCTGGTTAGCAGTAATCTAAACCAAGACAACAGTGCATAAGTGTTTGCACTGAATCCTTGGCTTCATATTAAGGAGCATAAATAATAGGAATCCTCTTGTTCTTCAACACTATATATCTTTGGTTAGGCCTCATTTAGACTATGCTGCACAGTTCTGGTCACCATATTACAGAATGGATATAAATGCTCTGGAAAATGTACAAAGGAGGATGACAAAGTTGATCCCATGTATCAGAGATCTTCTCTATGAGGACAGACTGAGGCCCTGAATCTGCATTCTCTAAAAAGGAGTAGAATTAGGGGGGATATAATTGAGGTGTATACAGTGGACCCTCGACTAACAATATTAATTGGTACCTGAGAACGAATATTGTTAGTTGAGTTTTTTTAGCATTAGCCGAGGCAAAATGTTAGCGTTAAAATGTATCGCTTGTCGGATTTAACGTTATACGATGCCATCGTTGGTCGAGGGTCCACTGTAAACTGGAAAACAGGAATAAATAAAGGGAATGTAAATAGCATGCTAAAAATAGCTAGCCAAGACAGGCTGTTGATTGTTGATGGATAAGCTCAGTAATTTCAGATTATGTAAATTGAACACTCGGTTAATTTTGTTTTTAACACCAGCTGTCTCCCACCAAGGCAGGGTAACCCAAAAAAGAAGAAACAAAAGTTTTTATTTTTACATTTAGTGATAGTGAGGCTCAAGTTAGAGTATGTAGGAAAGAGGGAGATTATTTCCCAGTAAAAGTAAGCTTTAGACAAGGATGTGTGATGTCACCGTGGTTGTTTAATATATTTATAGATGGGGTTGTAAGAGAAGTAAATGCGAGGGTCTTGGCAAGAGGCGTGGAGTTAAAAGATAAAGAATCACACATAAAGTGGGAGTTGTCACAGTTGCTCTTTGCTGATGACACTGTGCTCTTGGGAGATTCTGAAGAGAAGTTGCAGAGGTTGGTGGATGAATTTGGTAGGGTATGTAAAAGAAGAAAATTAAAAGTGATTACAGGAAAGAGTAAGGTGATGAGGATAACAAAAAGATTAGCTGATGAAAGATTGGATATCAGATTGGAGGGAGATAGTATGGAGGAGGTGAATGTATTCAGATATTTGGGAGTGGACGTGTCAGCGGATGAGTCTATGAAAGATGAGGTGAATCATAGAATTGATGAGGGGAAAAGGGTGAGCAGTGCTCTTAGGAGTCTGTGGAGACAAAGAACTTTGTCCTTGGAGGCAAAGAGGGGAATGTATGAGAGTATAGTTTTACCAACGCTCTTATATGGGTGTGAAGCATGGGTGATGAATGTTGCAGCGAGGAGAAGGCTGGAGGCAGTGGAGATGTCATGTCTGAGGGCAATGTGTGATGTGAATATAATGCAGAGAATTCGTAGTTTGGAAGTTAGGAGGAGGTGCGGGATTGCCAAAACTGTTGTCCAGAGGGCTGAGGAAGGGTTGTTGAGGTGGTTCGGACATGTAGAGAAAATGGAGCGAAACAGAATGACTTCAAGAGTGTATCAGTCTGTAGTGGAAGGAAGGCGGGGTAGGGGTCGGCCTAGGAAAGGTTGGAGGGAGGGGTAAAGGAGGTTTTGTGTGCGAGGGGCTTGGACTTCCAGCGGACATGTGTGAGCGTGTTTGATAGGAGTGAATGGAGGCAAATGGTTTTTAATACTTGACGTGCTGTTGGAGTGTGAGCAAAGTAACATTTATGAAGAGATTCAGGGAAACCGGCAGGTCGGACTTGAGTCCTGGAGATGGGAAGTACAGTGCTTGCACTCTGAAGGAGGGGTGTTAATGTTGCAGTTTAAAAACTGTAGTGTAAAGCACCCTTCTGGCAAGACAGTGATGGAGTGAATGATGGTGAAAGTTTTTCTTTTTCGGGCCACCCTGCCTTGGTGGGAATCGGCCAGTGTGCTAATAAAAAAAAATAATAATTTAGTAATTTATACAGGAGAAGGGGTTACTAGCACCTTCCTCCCAACATTTTGGTCTCCTCTTATGACACGCATGGCTTACGGAGGAAGGGTTCTTCTCCACTTCTCCATGGGGTATTCTGGTCTAATAAGTGACATTTATAACTGGCCATCAGAGTGCTGATGAACGAGAGTACAGCAGAGGACACATCAAGACTATGTGAAGCCTTGAACATCAGCAGTATGGGACTGGATTCCATCACCTCCAGTCATGACTGCACCGCCAGACTGCAGGCAGCCTTCCTTCACTTCAACAAGAGTAACATTCCACAAGCTCAGGTGATACTTCCTAAACATTGTCCATATTCTCCTCCTTGAATTTGTAAGTTCTTCAGTATATGTTTTACATTTTCTAAAGTTCTGGCCAATTAAATGAATAGAAATAGGAAGTGCATTTGTCTTGTGCTTAGGAGAAAGAGGATTGAGCCACCACGTCTTGCGCTGTATGATCCACATGGGTTTAGCGCTTAACACTCGCTTGACATGTGACCTAACAAAATCTAATACGCTCCCATGCTCAGCATCCTGGGTAAGGTGTAAGGTCATGTGTGAGGTGATACTCAACCTTATAATTATAGCCTTTACAGTTCCTTGATTAAGTGAGAAATTATGAAAGCTCTTGGAATTCACTATTTTGTTTCAGTGGTTCATGACTCGCATCACGGTCTGGAGTTTTATGACTGATCGCAGATTCTATCCCCGCCCCTGGTATGGTTTCATAGTGGTTACTGTGCATATTATGGTATCACATATTTACTGTGATCTTATGGCATGAATTATAAAAATGATAAAGTTGTGGCAGAGGCACAGTGATGCCACTTTAGAGATGAGAGCCAGAGTGACATAAATATAAGATAAAAGCAAAGGTATGATGCACTTGTGTACACTTATGCACATATGCTCTTCTTTCAACACACTGGCTGTATCCCACCAAAGCAGGGCGGCCCAAAAAGAAAAACGTAAGTTTCTCTTCATAAATTTAGTAATGTATTCAGTCCCATTACTGTTTTAGTGAACCATATTTTTAAGCCTTTGTTGTGCCTAACAAACAAAAGGTTGTTTGGAGTAATATTTTTATTATCTGATTTAAGCTTTTGACTGAAAATAAAGTAAGTGAATATATCTGACAAGTTTTTGGAGACTTTCAAGTATATTTTTGCTGTTGTTTAAATAACATTGGCATTTACTGAAGATATTGCAGTAGTACAGTCAGCTTACTTATAAACCTCCTCTCTTTATATACTATAGTGTACAGTGGACCCCCGGTTAACGATATTTTTTCACTCCAGAAGTATGTTCAGGTGCCAGTACTGACCGAATTTGTTCCCATAAGAAATATTGTGAAGTAGATTAGTCCATTTCAGACCCCCAAACATACACATACAAACGCACTTACTTAAATACACTTACATAATTGGTCGCATTCGGAGGTAATCGTTATGCGGGGGTCCACTGTATTTATTTTCTAAATGTGATTGAAACGGGTATAAATAATTGAATAGTATGTGGCAAGGAGTTCATAGTGCTATTCAATTTTGGATGCACTTAGTCACGTTCACGCAAACTCACACTATATAGAGGAACTTAGTATGAGAGTTTACTGTACAGATGAACCTCACTTTACGATTACACTGGACCCTCAAATTTAGTCGTGCCTTTTCTGTATGCAAAACTATTTTTATTATCTCTAAAATGTATGTTTTGTGAATATTTCCCATAGGAAATAATGCAAATCCAATTAAACCATTCCAGACACCCAAAAATATTAACAAACAATACATTTTATAGATAATAAAAATAGTTTTGCATACAGAAAAAGCACGACTAAATTCGAGGGTCCACTGTATTTGACTCATATTTTAACTTTACAATGGTGCAATAGCAATGTACATTCTGTACTGTATGTACTGAACATTTATTGATAGAATAAATTTGTATTTTTTTTTAATTTTCAGTCCTGGTATTTAGTTATTTAGAGTATTGTTTATTTATTTCCTTATTCAGTAGCAGTAGTTATTTACTTATTTATCATATCAAGGACTGGACCACAGGGGCATTGACCCCTGAAACTCCCTCCAGGTAAACTCTGGGTAGGTTTATTGGAACCTAACTCCATTGTAAGTCGAACACCTGTATTGTATATGGTATCCTTTCCATTGTTATCCAGTTGCATGTGGTCAAGACCAGCCGGTGCAGTTTTGTATAACCATTCATTCCTTTACAGGCCATCCTAGATGAGCTTTTCCCTGGGTCTGACAACACCAATTTGGATGCCACGGTGATCCAGCTGTCTACCAACTTGTTAGACGACTCGCCCGCCACTGACCCTCGGTGGGCCGAGAGTAACCAGGCCGGAGGAACAGGGGCACCCATGTCACTCCTTATTCTGAACCAGCTGAGAGACAAGACTATGGCTCATCAGTATTTCATAACATTTCTACACCAGGTACATCATGTAGAGTACACACGTCCCTGAAAAGATACACGGGTGGGCCCTGTTTATACAGCAGCGTAGGTTTCGGGCTTCTGCTGTAAAGTGAAATGGTCTTTTTTAACTTTCAAATGCATATAAAAGCCTGGTAACATATAATTAACTGAAGAGTAGTTCACTGGGGTGTATTAATTAATTTAAAATAATGATGTTCCAAATCAGACTGCAATGTGTTAGAAATCGAATCAAAATGTATACCAATACAAATTTGCTATTATATAATTCATCTTACTCTACCTGGCCAATGAGGCCAGAGACTGGGAGGCCTGGCCTAGGACTAAGCCACAGGGACAGCAACTCCTGGTACTGACCTAACTTGAGGCATCCCCAGATTTCAAGTCGCAAACACACAAAGTTTGGGAAGCATCAATCTGCTTAATGGGACTTACCGTAAGCACTGCTGTTAGGGCTCCCAAGATGCCTTCAGGGTCATATGGAGCGTCATTATTGTAAATCATTCTACAAGTTGGACTCCGATAGACGTGTGCCTTGCCAAGCACTTTAATATCCACATACGCAGCAGCACCGCCCGTACAGTTGCCATGCTCACCTCCGTTGTACAAACCTCCGGGACCCAGGTATCCCCTGAAAACATGAAAACACTATGTAGCTGACAAATCTTAATGGACTGTCAGTTTCAGCAAAAGCTTTCCCACCTAAGCTATACACAAATAACCTGCACATACAGGAGTGAGTGGTGAATATATTTATTGTAGGAAGTCTGAATAAATGAAGAATGGCTGTAATTGACAACTGCTGCATTAGCAAAGTGCTGTAAAGTGGGGCACTGCAAAGTGGGACCAGCCTGTAAATGCTACCTTGAGTGAGAAACATGTCATCAGCATCTTATTAGTGACCATTATGGATGACTGCTGCCAAAACCAAGAGTTTCTTACACAGATTACCCACACGTAGGAGAATGACGAAGCTTCGGTCCAACTTGGACCATTGACTAGCCACACACATTCAAAAGTTTCATTCTTCTATGTACAGGTTATTTATGTATTGTTCAGTCATTGTATTGTGACTTTTTATTCCCAATACAGTGGAACCTCAGTTTTCGTCTTTATTCGTTCCAGAGAGTCTGACGAAAACCGAATTCAATGAAACTGAAGCAATATTTCCCATAAGAAATACAGTGGACCCCCGCATAACGATATTAATCCGTTCCTGAGAGCTCATTGTTATGCGAAATTATCGTTATGCGAATGAATTTTCCCCATAAGAAATAATGGAAATCAAATTAATCCGTGCAAGACACCCAAAAGTATGAAAAAAAAATTTTTACCACATGAAATATACATTTTCCTACACACAAAGAGAAGGATACATGCACAATAGTAGAGTAGTACATGCACAATATATATTGTGCATGTACTACTCTACTAAATGAAGAATAAATGACACTTACCTTTATTGAAGATGCAGCAATGACTGATGAGACACTGTGTCCTGGGAGTGCCTTTTCCTCCTGAGTACTGTAGGTCCTGGTTGGCATTTTCTTCCAGAACAGCCTTATCACACTGTGTATGCCACTACTATTCTTAAATGTCTCAAACCAACCTTTGCTGGCTTTAAATTCACCAATATGAGCACTAGTTCCAGGCATTTTTCCCTGTTCATCTGGGTGTTAGTCGACTGGTGTGGGTTGCATCCTGGGAGACAAGATTAAGGACCCCAATGGAAATAAGTTAGACAGTCTTCGATGACACTGACTTTTTTGGGTTATCCTGGGTGGCTAACCCTCTGGGGTTAATTGTTTCTTGGTATTCTCAATAAGCCACACCAACAACGGTGCTACAGCAGCAGCAGCAGTAGCTGACAGTGCTACAGCAGCTGACAGTGCTACAGCAGCAGCAGACGGTGCTACAGCAGCAGCAGACGGTGCTACAGCAGCAGCAGACGGTACTACAGCAGCAGCTGATGGTGGTACAGCAGCAGCAGCAGCAGCTGACGGTGCTACAGCAGCAGCAGCTGACAGTGCTACAGCAGCAGCAGCAGCTGACAGTGCTACAGCAGCAGCAGCAGCAGCAGCTGACAGTGCAACAGCAACAGCAGCAGCAGCAGCTGACAGTGCTACAACAGCAGCAGCAGCAGCTGACAGTGCTACAGCAGCAGCAGCAGCTGACAGTGCTACAGCAGCAGCAGCAGCTGACAGTGCTACAGCAGCAGCAGCAGCTGACAGTGCTACAGCAGCAGCAGCAGCTGACAGTGCTACAGCAGCAGCAGCAGCTGACAGTGCTACAGCAGCAGCAGCAGCTGACAGTGCTACAGCAGCAGCAGCAGCAGCAGTTGACCATGGTACCACAGTATTTCGATAATATTTCTCACCCTTTTTACCACAGGGTTGGCACTAGAAGCTTTCTTGGGGCCCATGGTCACTTATTTTGCAGATAAAATCACCAAAAATGCTGTAATAATACAAAATGTTCCGATTGTATGCTTGGATGTTACCGCAGAGGCTGGCTTGTAAACAATGCCACTGGTGGAACATGTGAGGCTGGCTCAGGCCTCACATAGACGCGTCTCAGACGAATAGCGTTGAGTGGGTTTTAGCGGTATGCGAGGCAAAATCTTAGCAATGAAATGTATCGGTATGCGGATTTAACGTTATGTGATGCCAACGGTATGCGGGGGTCCACTGTAATGTAAATCCAGTTAATCCGTTCCAGACACCCAAATATATTAACAAAAAATACATTTTATAAAGAATAACTATAGTTTTACATACAGAAAACAACTAGAATTAAATATAAAGCACTAATGAAATGAATAAATGAACATTTAAACCGCTTTTACCTTTATTGAAGACTCTTGCTGGCATATGGAAGACGGCGAGGAAGGGAGAGGGAGGAGAGGTTATTGTTGGGAAGGGAAATCCCCTTCCATAAGGATTTCAGGTATGAAGTCTCTATCTCGGGTTACTTCTCTTTTTTGTCTTTTACTGGCACTAGGACCAGCTTGAGTGTCACTGTACCCTTGTTGCGCAAAAAATCTGTCCAGAGAGGTCTGTTTCTGGCGTCTCTTTCAGATTTGCCTAAAATGGGACATGGCATTGTCATTGAACATATTGCAGACATGGCTTGCAACAGCTTTGTTAGGGTGATATTTTTCCACAAAACTTTGCACCTCACTCCACTTTGCATGAATGTCCTTAATCACTGAAGAAGGCACATTCTTCCCTCTGGAAATATGAACACTTAAGCAGTATAATGTGATCCTTTATTGACACCGTTTTGCCCACGCAGTGGGCTGTATCAAGTTCCAAACAGATCCACACCTCTCTTCCTCCTCCTCTGAAGCAATTTCTTCAGCTGTGATCTGTTGCTGTTCCAGTTGAAGGTGTTGCAGCTCTTCAGTGGTTAGCTCTTCCCTGTGGTCGTCCACCCACTCTTCCACATCCTGGCCACTCACATCCAACCCCATAGACTTCCTCAAAGTCACAGTAGATTCCACAACAGGCGTAGGGTTGTCAGGGTCAGCCTCAAACCCTTCAAAATCTTTCTCTTGGATACATTCTGGCCACAATTTTCTCCAAGCAGAGTTCATTGTCCTGGAAGTCACTTCTTGCCAAGCCTTATATGTATGGCTTATGCAGTTGAGGATATTGAAGTGATTCCTCCAGAACTCTCTTAGTCAGTTCATTGTCTGAGGTCACTTCAAAGCACCTTTGAAACATTGCTTTGGTGTAGAATTTTTGGAAGGTTGAAATAACCTGCTGGTCCATGGGCTGGATGAGAGGAGTGGTATTAGGGGGCAAGAACTTCACTGTGATGAAACTAAACTCCTCAAACAATTGGTCTTCCAAGTCTGGAGGATGAGCAGGAGCATTGTCCAGTACCAGGAGGCACTTGAGTGGCAGTTTATTTTCCAGGAGGTATTTCTTCACACTCGGGCCAAATATTTCATTGACTCAGTCAACGAAAATTTGCCTCGTGACCCATGCCATATTGTTAGCCCTCCACATCACACACAATTTACTCTTGATAACATTGTTTTTCTTGAACACTCAGGAATTTTCAGAGTGATACACCAGTCAAGGCTTCACTTTGAAATCCCCACTAGTGTTAGCACAGAACAAAAGAGTTAGCCTATCCTTCATAGGCTTGTGTCCTGGCAGTGCCTTTTCCTCTTGCATGATGTAGGTTCTCTTTGGCATTTTCTTCCAAAAGAGGCCTGTTTCCTCACAATTGAAGACTTGGTGGGAGAGGAATCCTTCAGTCTCTACGTACTCCTTGAATTCATCAGCGAATTCTTCGGCCGCATGTTTGTCCGACCTTGCACCTTCACCATGCCTTAACACACTGTGTATGCCAGATCACTTCTTGAATTTGTCAAACCAGCCTCTGCTGGCCTTAGATTCACTAACAACAGCACTCGTTCCAGGCATTTTCTTTATGAGATCCACATGCAACTGCCTTGCCTTTTAGCAAATTATCACCTCCACAACACTATCTCCTGTTAACTGCTTTTCGTTGATCGACACCAACGACAACTTCTGAACATCAACAACAACTTCTGAACATCTTCTATTGTTTGCGATCTCTGTTTTGTTAGCACATTTACCCCTTTCGCAACATCATATTCCTTGAATTCTTTTTTCTTCGCCAGGATGGAACTGATCGTTGATGAGGACTTCCCGTACATCCTGGCGAGATCGACCATACGTATGCCACTTTCATACTTTGCTACCAGTTCTTTCTTGAATTCTATCGTGTTTCTCGCCTTCTTATGAAAGGGTTGGCACTCGGAACATTCTTTGGCCCTGTGGTGGCTTATTTAGCAGTCACACTCAATAAACACGCACAAAAAACAATGGATTATCAATACACATCAACACACATTCAAGGACACAATAGTGTCCTTGAATGTGTATTGATAGTCACTAGTTGGCAAAACATCTACAATAACGATACCGAGATGTTGCACGTGTCTAATTTTTCATCCTGTTGGTATCATATACCATACATGTACATAGATTACTAAGTAGGATATCTTAGACATTTAACTACAATTCAGTGTACAACAAGAGATGTCCTTACTGAGTGCCAGTTTCCAGCTGGCTTCCAGTTCCCTGGTCTATATCATTTTTAACTAATGCTATTAGCATTTTGAGAAATTTTAGTGCAGTATTTTGTGTACAAATTTTAAATGTTATGTTTGCATTCAGTAGTTATTGATTAGAGATACATTTGGATTTTTTTTTTCTATATACCACAGAATATACAATATTTTCTGATTGTTGCAGACAGGACTATGGCAGCGTTTAAGTGTGGGCGTCGTAGAGGAGACTCGGGTGTTGACAAGGATTGTTTTGACCGAGCACGGAGAAAAGCTGGCCTTTGCTACAGCCTTGCGCACCAAACACAATGACCACCAACACCTCATTGATGCTGCTGTCAAGTAAGAAGCACATTATTTCTGATGTTGCTGTTAAGTTAAGAAGTACAACACTCTTTTTGATGCTGTAATCAGGAAGAAGTACAACATTCTTTTTGATGCTGTAATCAGGAAGAAGTACAACATTCTTTTTGATGCTGTAATCAGGAAGAAGTACAACATTCTTTTATTTTTATAGACCATAATTCTACTGTTTGCACTAAATAATGAATATAAATGGTGACAGCTCAATGCATCTGGTCCCACACCATAAGTTTTTTCATTGTTTATTTTTTAGTTATACTGCCACTCCCCGGGATGCCACCTACAGCAGTTGACTAACACTTGGGTACCCATTTTCTGCTGAGTGACTGGGGTCAGCAGGTGTAAGGATACTTGCTCATAAGTCTTCTCACCCAGGACTGAACCTTGGTTCATCTCATATGAGCCATTCAGCGCAAGGAGTACTGGAGGCTTGGGACTCCATCTGGTACAGGTGCTCCTCAACTTAAGGTTATTCCACTAAGGATATTTCGATTTTACGATGGTGCACAAGCAATTACTTTGGAATTGAAACTTGAGATAATTACCAAGCATGTAGGCAGCAAGTTTGTAACTTGTATTCATTTGTTTATTTTTCAGTACTGGTATTTAGTTAGTTTCCAGGAGCAAGTGGCTAGTAACACCTTCTCCTGTATATTCTTTCTTTCTTTCAACACACCTGCCGTATCCCACCGAGGCGGGGTGGCCCAAAAGGAAAAATGAAAGTTACTTCTTTTACATTTAGTAATATATACAGGAGAAGGGGTTACTAGCCCCTTGCTCCCGGCACTTTAGTCGCCTCTTTCCACACGCATGGCTTACAGAGGAAGAATTCTGTTCCACTTCCCCATGGAGATAAGAGGAAATAAACAAGAACAAGGACTAGAAAGAAAATAGAAGAAAACCCAGAGGGGTATGTATGTATATATATGCTTGTACATGTATGTGTATTGTGACCTAAGTGTACGTAGAAGTAGCAAGACGTACCTGAAACCTTGCATGTTCATGAGACAGAAAAATGGACACCAGCAATCCTACCATCATGTAAAACAATTACAGGCTTTCGTTTTACACTCACTTGGCAGGACGGTAGTACCTCCCTGGGTGGTTGCTGTCTACCAGCCTACTACCTAGATCTCCTGTATATATTACTAAATTTAAAAGGGAAAACTTTCATTTTTTCTTTTGGGCCACCCTGCCTCGGTGGGATATGGCCAGTTTCTTGAAAGAAGATTTAGTTACAGTAATTTGTTCATTTACTTGTTTATTAAACATATAGTATTCATATTTGACTTAAGATGGGTTTGTTGGAGTGTAACCCTGTCATAAGTCGAGGAACACCCATACTTGTTACCCGGTCTGTGACCAGTTTGAGGATAAGTGGAGTAGAGGTTTCAACTTATATTGTACATTTGACACCTACTTGCCTGACAGGTGATATTCAAGTAATTTCTTGTATAAATTTGAAGAGCATGCAGGAAGGGAAGCGAGATTCCAGTACACTAGTGAAATGATGATAGATTTCCTTCCTTTTTCAGTAGTACTCTTATGATGGGCCTGGTGCTTCAGCTCCTTCAGTTGGGTAGGTGCGAGTGGTTGGTAAGGACCTGCCTAGTATAGACCAGTAGGCCTACTGCAGTGGTCCTCCATTCTTATGTTCTTACCTGGTAGAGCACTGAGTGATCTACCAGGTCTAAGTGCTCTTCAGTTCTGTCCTCTCAAAGGAGATTTCTTGATGCCAGTGAGGGGCTCTTGATTCAAGTAATTAGATCTGACATCATTACCTGATCCCTATGAATTTAGTGCTTCCCCTCATAAATGAAATAATAATTGTCTTCAAAACTCCAAGCGTCTTTCCATCCCATCTCTCTTCCTCCATGTTCTGTGGTGCCTGTGACTCACATTCCTTCCCTCCATGTTCTGTGGTGTCTGGTACTCAGACATTCCTTCCCTCCATGTTCTGTGGTGTCTGGTACTCAGACATTCCTTCCCTCCATGTTCTGTGGTGTCTGATACTCAGACATTCCTTCCCTCCATGTTCTGCGGTGTCTGGTACTCAGACATTCCTTCCCTCCATGTTCTGTGGTGCCTGTGACTCACATTCCTTCCCTCCATGTTCTGTGGTGTCTAGTACTCAGACATTCCTTCCCTCCATGTTCTGCAGTGTCTGGTACTCAGACATTCCTTCCCTCCATGTTCTGCGGTGTCTGGTACTCAGACATTCCTTCCCTCCATGTTCTGCAGTGTCTGGTACTCAGACATTCCTTCCCTCCATGTTCTGCGGTGTCTGGTACTCAGACATTCCTTCTCTCCATGTTCTGCGGTGTCTGGTACTCAGACATTCCTTCCCTCCATGTTCTGCGGTGTCTGGTACTCAGACATTCCTTCCCTCCATGTTCTGCGGTGTCGGTACTCAGACATTCCTTCCCTCCATGTTCTGCGGTGTCTGGTACTCAGACATTCCTTCCCTCCATGTTTTGTGGTGTCTGGTACTCAGACATTCCTTCCCTCCATGTTCTGCGGTGTCTGGTACTCAGACATTCCTTCCCTCCATGTTCTGCGGTGTCTGGTACTCAGACATTCCTTCCCTCCATGTTCTGCGGTGTCTGGTACTCAGACATTCCTTCCCTCCATGTTCTGCGGTGTCTGGTACTCAGACATTCCTTCCCTCCATGTTCTGCAGTGTCTGGTACTCAGACATTCCTTCCCTCCATGTTTTGTGGTGTCTGGTACTCAGACATTCCTTCCCTCCATGTTTTGTGGTTGTTGGTACTAGACATTCCTTCCCTCCATGTTTTGTGGTGTCTGGTACTCAGACATTCCTTCCCTCCATGTTTTGTGGTGTCTGGTACTCAGACATTTCTTCCCTCCATGTTCTGCGGTGTCTGGTACTCAGACATTCCTTCCCTCCATGTTTTGTGGTGTCTGGTACTCAGACATTCCTTCCCTCCATGTTTTGTGGTGTCTGGTACTCAGACATTCCTTCCCTCCATGTTTTGTGGTGTCTGGTACTCAGACATTTCTTCCCTCCATGTTCTGTGGTGTCTGGTACTCAGACATTCCTTCCCTCCATGTTTTGTGGTGTCTGGTACTCAGACATTTCTTCCCTCCATGTTCTGCGGTGTCTGGTACTCAGACATTCCTTCCCTCCATGTTTTGTGGTGTCTGGTACTCAGACATTTCTTCCCTCCATGTTCTGTGGTGTCTGGTACTCAGACATTCCTTCCCTCCATGTTCTGCGGTGTCTGGTACTCAGACATTTCTTCCCTCCATGTTCTGCGGTGTCTGGTACTCAGACATTCCTTCCCTCCATGTTCTGCGGTGTCTGGTACTCAGACATTCCTTCCCTCCATGTTTTGTGGTGTCTGGTACTCAGACATTTCTTCCCTCCATGTTCTGTGGTGTCTGGTACTCAGACATTCCTTCCCTCCATGTTCTGTGGTGTCTGGTACTCAGACATTCCTTCCTTCCATGTTTTGTGGTGTCTGGTACTCAGACATTTCTTCCCTCCATGTTCTGTGGTGTCTGGTACTCAGACATTCCTTCCCTCCATGTTCTGCGGTGTCTGGTACTCAGACATTTCTTCCCTCCATGTTCTGCGGTGTCTGGTACTCAGACATTTCTTCCCTCCATGTTCTGCGGTGTCTGGTACTCAGACATTCCTTCCCTCCATGTTCTGCGGTGTCTGGTACTCAGACATTTCTTCCCTCCATGTTCTGCGGTGTCTGGTACTCAGACATTTCTTCCTCCATGTTCTGCGGTGTCTGGTACTCAGACATTCCTTCCCTCCATGTTCTGCGGTGTCTGGTACTCAGACATTTCTTCCCTCCATGTTCTGCGGTGTCTGGTACTCAGACATTTCTTCCCTCTATGTTCTGCGGTGTCTGGTACTCAGACATTCCTTCCCTCCATGTTCTGCGGTGTCTGGTACTCAGACATTCCTTCCCTCCATGTTCTGCGGTGTCTGGTACTCAGACATTCCTTCCCTCCATGTTCTGCGGTGTCTGGTACTCAGACATTCCTTCCCTCCATGTTCTGCGGTGTCTGGTACTCAGACATTCCTTCCTCCATGTTCTGCGGTGTCTGGTAATCAGACATTTCTTCCCTCTATGTTCTGCGGTGTCTGGTACTCAGACATTCCTTCCCTCCATGTTCTGCGGTGTCTGGTACTCAGACATTTCTTCCCTCTATGTTCTGCGGTGTCTGGTACTCAGACATTCCTTCCCTCCATGTTCTGCGGTGTCTGGTACTTTTTTGAACAAAGCGATGTATTTTTCAAGAAGTTGTTTACTTGCAGGCATGTACTCTTGGATCGTAACGAATCCCCTGAGGGCAAGCTGACTCACTCTGACCTGTTCTATCGTCGGGTGAGCAAGATAGAGGACATCATCTGGGGGCTGCTACGAGCACAAGACGATGTGAGTAAGGTTTCTCTCTCTTCCAACTCTGCTTGTATATTTCAAGAAGCCCATTCTTCTGGGCAAGCAGTTTTTTCTTTAATTCAAGATTGTTGAAAAAGCAACTATAACACTTAATTATGACCATGAGAATTTTTATTCTTATTCTCCCTTTCATCTCACTGGTTACCCATTTTGTTTACTTCCTTCCTTCCTTATGCTTGAGTGCATTTATTTTTTGCTTTTGTTTTTTTTACCACCAAGATAGGGTGACTGCCAAAGAAAAAAACACATTCACCATCATTCAATAGCTGGCTTGCTAGAAGTGTGAAGACATAAGAAACAGCAACATTTCCACCCTTCCTTCGAAGTGCAGGCACTGTGCTTCCCACCTCCGGGCCGCGGGGGCGTTGACCCCCGGAACTCTCTCCAGATAAACTCCAGATAAACACAAGTTCAGCTAACTGTTTTTTCTAAATCCCTTCATAAATGTTACCTTGCTCGCTTCAGCAGAATGTCAAACTCTAAAAATCACCTGTCTCCACTCTGATGTAACACATTCACAAAGACCTGCTGGATGCTCCAGCCTATACCACATAGAACTTGTTTCACTTCCTCCCTCCAGACATTCTGGGATGACCGCTACCCTTCCTTCTTCCACCACAGATTTATACATCCTTCTTGTATCCTTCTGCTCTGTCCTTTGTAGTCAGACCTCCTCTCCAACCCTATCGTCCCTCCTTCACATGATTATTTTTTAACACACCAGCTGTCTCCCACTGATGCAGGGTAACCTGAAAAAGAAGAGATGAAAGTTTTCTTTTTACATTTAGTAATTTATACAGAAGGGGGGGTTTACTAGCCCCTTCCTCCTGGCATTATAGTCGTCTCTTACAACCCACATAGCTTATGGAGGAAGGATTCCTCTCCACTTCCTCGTGAAATTGCAAATTATCTATTTTTATCAATTTGATGAAATAAGACAGACCTTACTGTGTTATTTGTGAATCTTTCACTTCTAGCACTGATCACTTCTGTAAAGACTTGACAGTCTGTGTCACTGTTATCAGTAGTTTATTAAACAGATTAGCAAGTTTTCTTTTTATACTTTTCATTATTCCTGTTGAGGAATATTGTCTATTTCTGATTTTATATTCTGATTCATCAGTTGGATGTTATAAGTTATTTTATATGAAGACACAAAAAAATATGTATAAAGTAAACAAATATTGGTCATTTTTGTATTATCTTAAAGAAAGAAAATTAATCTATCCAAATTTGGCAGGTTTTAGCAGCTGATGTGGCTCCTCGGGATGCTCCCGCAACAATACACTCGGTGAACTCGCTCATCCTGGCCCTGCTGCGAGGAGCTAAAATTGCCTCGGGCAGCATTGCTAGTGTTGCAGGAACCACGAGTGACCCACCGCTGGAACACACTCCATGGACTGCTTCCCAGGGCACTCGTGGAGCTCGGACATTGCTGCTGGAACAACACACTACTACTGTCAAGGTACAGGATTTACCTTTTCACACCAAAATATATTTTTAACTTTTAAAATATTGTAATTAATGTGGCCATGAATATCAAAGTGAGATATAATGGTGTTGATTATTTATTAATAATTTGGCAAGCTCGGTAGTGTTCACTATCTTGCATTAAAACTTCTGTATAAATTATATACAGTACAGTGGTCCCTCGCTTTTCGTAGTTCTCGGCAATCGTAAATTTCGCCAATCATAGGGGTATTTTCGTATAAACATGGACTCGCCTTTCATAGGTTGACTCGCGAATAGTAGTTCGTCCAGGACGTGTACGCACGGTGTGAGCCGGGGAGGCCTCCCTACCCAGCCAGTCTGGCATTGTTTACCAGTGAGTGAAGGTCCCCTCAAATGCTCCTACGAAATATTTCATAATATTCCACTCATTTTAGTGCTTGCAAGGACTAAATAAGCTACCATGGCTCCAAAGAAAGCTCCTAGTGCCAGACCTGTGGTAAAGAAGGTGAGAAATATGTACAGTGACAAAGTCTTGAGCCATTTTAGGGAAGTGTTAAAGAGACGCCAGAAACAGAGCTCTCTCCACAGTTACTTTGCGAGACAGGACTAGAGTGAAAACTGTAAACAATCCAATCTCTCTCCTCCTCCAGTCTTCCATACACTAAGAAGAATCTCCAATAAAGGTAAGTGTTATGCTGTTAATGTTTCATTCATTATTTCCCATTGTATTGTTTATGTACTACATGTATATTTCATGTAAAAAATTTTTTTGTTTTAATACTTTTGGGTGTTAGGAACGGATTAATTGTATTTACATTATTTCTTATGGGGAAAATTGATTTGCAAATCGTAAATTTCGTTTATAGTAGTTCCTCCAGGAACGGATTAATTACGAAAAACGAGGACCACTGTATTTTAAAACGAGGGCCACTGTATTTTAAAGTATTTTACATTGCAAAGTCTCTTTTGAGTTGCTACAATCTCCATTTTAAAAGTAGCAAGTGCAGGTGGTATTAGTTTTCTTTACTGGCAGATTGGTTTGGTCCGTGCCGAGGATGGTGCCACTAGAGCCAAGCTGTATGCACAGATGGTTGATCTCTCTGATGTCATTCTCACTGGCTACCAGCCTCAGCTGCGTTCCCTGGTGGCTGTCAGCCACGACTCCCACCAGGCCCTCACACGTGCCTATGAGAGGGATCGTTATAACCTCATTCAGCCACTTGGTAAATTATAGTTTCAGCTGCATATTGCATCACCATACATTAGTTTATACAATTTTTCCAGTATAGTTCATGATTTACATGTTTTTCCAAGGTTGCAAGTATAGTTTTGTACTTCAACAGTGCAAGGTGAGCAGTACGACCAAGCAGTGGGCCTGGCTGAGAAATACTGCGACTTCCGCACGCTGGTAGAAGTGTGTGACCGCACAGACAACCAAGAGAGACTTGCCCAGTACATGACCCAGTTTGGATCTGATGTAAGTGTGGCAAACCAATGAACTCTTATAAGTTGTGTGTCTTCCACTGTCTGATAATATTCTTCTAATGGCTCTGCTTCCTTCAGGAGTGATGACATGGAACATATATATACTGACATTTCAATTGGTTATCTGTTTTAAATAGCTGAGAAAATGGTTAGAAAAACCACATTACACTGAAGAAATATTCACAAAAAAAAAACAAATTATCCCTTCTCTCATAGATGCCTTACTGGCTACACATTATCATTGCTTGAATTCTTGTCTTTCCTTTTCTTTATTTATCCTTTTATTTGTATATGAATGGTATATAATACCGACAAGATAAACATTTAAGACACGTTTGCAACATCTGGTTATGAAGATAACCACATGTTGCACATGTATCTAATTCTTCATCTCTTATTTATCCCTTGATGCTGGGAAAGGATTTTTTAACACCAGCTGTCTCACACCAAGGCACAGTGACCCGAAAAAGAAAAATGAGTTTCCTTTTTACCAAAACTGTTGTCCAGAGGGCTGAAGAAGGGTTGAGGTGGTTCGGACATGTAGAGAGAATGGAGCGAAACAGAGTGACTTCAAGAGTGTATCAGTCTGTAGTGGAAGGAAGGCGGGGTAGGGGTCGGCCTAGGAAAGGTTGGAGGGAGGGGGTAAAGGAGGTTTTGTGTGTGAGGGGCTTGAACTTCCAGCAGGCATGTGTGAGCGTGTTTGAGTGGAGTGAATGGAGACAAATGGTTTTTAATACTTGACGTGCTGTTGGAGTGTGAGCAAAGTAACATTTATGAAGGGGTTCAGGGAAACCGGCAGGCTGGACTTGAGTCCTGGAGATGGGAAGTACAGTGCCTGCACTCTGAAGGAGGGGTGTTAATGTTGCAGTTTAAAAACTGTAGTATAAAGCACCCTTCTGGCAAGACAGTGATGGAGTGAATGATGGTGAAAGTTTTTCTTTTTCGGGCCACCCTGCCTTGGTGGGAATCGGCCAGTGTGATAATAAAAAAAAAAAAATTAAAGGACTGTTGATCAATAGAATTGGATCCCTTCCTTGGGACAAACCTAATTAACTTTTATTCCATATTCACTGTGTTACCCCTGTAGCTTTAGAGCTCCCCATGTATAAAATAATAACGATTTCTTATTTTATTTGTGATTATTTCCTGGATATTAGTATTGCATCTATGTAGCAGAGGTACACTTGCTCTAAATCTTCAGCCTTTTACATTGGCATATGTGTTGAGTGGAGTTCCACAAGGGTCAGTCCTAGGGCCAGTGCTGTTTCTTGTATGTGTGAATGACATGACACAAGGGATAGAGTAGGAGGTATTCCTGTTCGCAAACAACATGAAACTAACGAGGAGAATACAAGCTGACAAGGAAGTTGAAGTGCATATTTAGATACATGTCTTGTTGATGATAGCAAATTTCATTCAGTTTGTACTATTTCTTCTTTCTTTCAACACAGCGGTCGTATCCCACCGAGGCAGGGTGGCCCAAAAGGAAAAACAAAAGTTTCTCCTTTCACATTTAGTAATACATATATACAGGAGAAGGGGTTACTAGCCCCTTGCTCCTGGCATTTTAGTCGCCTCTTACAACACGCATGGCTTACGGAGGAAGAATTATGTTCCACTTCCCCATGGAGATAAGAGGAAATAAACAAGAACTAGTAAGAAAATAGAAGAAACCCAGAGGGGTGTGTATATATATGCTTGTACATGTATGTGCAGTGTGACCTAAGTGTAAGAAGAAGTAGCAAGACGTACCTGAAACCTTGCATGTTTATGAGACAGAAAAAACACCAGCAATCCTACCATCATGTAAAACAAGTACAGGCTTTCATTTTACATTCACTTGGCAGGACGGTAGTAAGTTTGTACTATATATTGTGTTAATGGGTTTTATATACTCACATGCTGTTATTTTTCTTTGTCACTAAATGGCACACTTGCCATAAGTTGTTGCTTTACTCTGTAAACAAATGTTGATTTTTTTTATATGTCCTGTGTTCCTGTCATCCTAAACATTGATAGTGTGAAAGTTATGGATGACTTTTAGTTAACATGTACACACGGAGCACAAGCAAGTTATCTGTCACTGTTGTAGTGGTGCCCCCTCTAAAATGCTGTCATCTGTGAGTAAATCTTATGAACAAGATCATGTCAGTTCTTCACTGAATTAACTCGCAGCAATACAGTGGAACCTCGGCACTCAAACTTAATTGGTTCCAGGAGGCTGTTTGAGTGCTGATCTCTTCGAGTACAGAATGAATTTTTCCCAACCAATTTTCTGTTTGGTTGGCTGTTATCACTAGCCGTCTTAGGCCCCATGGTGACTTACTTATACAAATAATATTAAAAAATGCCTAAAAATGTGAAAAAAACAAAATAGTTTACTGCTAAGTTCCGCCAGGTTGTGTTTGTTTGGTCAAATGCCGATCAAACAGTTGACTACCAAGTGATTTGTTTACCGAACAAAGCATTAGAATACTGAATTGTTCGAGTATGGAGCTGTTTGAGTACTGAGGTTCCACTGTAGTTGACATGTAAGCAAAGAACATTTATTTACAGTTGCTCTTCATGTTTTATGCTTTTAATTAATATTTCTCAGAGCAAAATACATAAACAGACTCTTGCAAAGACTGGAATTATATTTATTTTGATATATTGTCACAAATTAAATTTATGAGGCACATCTAAATTGGTGTATCTGTGCACCTCAGGCAAGACAATGATAGTGTGAACGATGGTAAAAGCATTTTTTTTCGGGTCACCCTGCCTTGGTGGGAGATGCTGTAACGAGCACAAATCACGGTACAGGTGGGGATTGAACTCGCGACAAGTGAGTGGTAAAACTCCAGGCCAGTACATAAGCCAATGGGCCAGCTGGCCCAGTGGCTTACGTACGGGCCAGCTGGCCCAGTGACTTATGTACTGGCCAGGAGTCTTACTGCTCACTTGCTGTGAGTTCAGTCCCCACCCATACCGTGGATTGTTTGCAATCGTGTCATTACGATTTCATGAATGAAGAGCACAAATGTCCAGTGAATAGTCACAACACATAACAGTAATAATGCCAGTGTTTTTGTTTCCAGGGGTTCTCAGACTTTGTGTTCCGGTGGTACCTGGAGACTGGTAAACGAGGTCGTCTCCTGAGTCACGGGACTCAGGGAGACTTGTCACGCTTCCTTCAGGATTATACATCTCTTGCTTGGCTCCATCACATTCAAACGAGGGATTTTACAGCTGCATCTTCAACTCTCCGCCAGCTGGCATTAGAGGAGACTGCATACCTCAGCAGAAAGAAGGTAGTACAGTAAATCCTTGATTAAATGAACTGTGATTTTAATGGACTTTGGAAATACAGGACAAAATTGGCTGTGTTAACTGATTCAAAAGCAATGGACAAAGTGCATTAGTTACATAATTGTCCATTATTACTGTTACTGCCAAAATTTTTGCTAATGCTGATGCTCAATTTTAGACCAATTCCATCAAAATTAGCCAATATCCCTGATACTGATACTTTGGCACTTGGTTAAATGGGTAACTCACAATAAAACAGTCTTGTCTGTCCCCCACAGTTGCTGTTACAGGCCATCTGCCTCCCTTATTAGTCCATTAAAAGTCAAGGGTTTAGCAAACTTTGTGGTATAACCTCCGTTCTTAGGATTTTATTATTGTTGAGCATTAGGTCCCATCTGATACTTCTATGCATTTATAATTTTGTTGTTAGTTTTCTCAGAGTGTAGGACAGTGAATGGCCATACTGATCTTTCTTGATCTTATTTGTCTTTGTGTTGATTGTAACTCATTCCTCATGTAAGGTATTTACTAGTTTCAAATCTTTGGTGTTGCTGTGACCTTACCTTTAATCCCAGTTCTTGCTAACCTTTTTTTGGAGTTGTTACAAAAAATGCGATTCTAAAAGCTTAGAGATCTCCAGTGAATACTAGAAAGGACTGCCCCTCTAGCATCCAGCCTGTTACTGGGTTTTCGTAACAAGTAGTCAGTATCCTTGTCCAATTATCCATTAGGATTCAGTATGATTCAATAGTGCTTCAGGATTACAACTGGTAGGCTACTAACTAGAGAAATTAAAATTTAATAAATTTATTAAGTCTAGAGGTATATTATCATATTAAATTAAATTAATCACAGTAATCAAAATAATATCACTTCTCTCGAGTACAATATTATTGTGCTGAAAGCACATATCACATTTATAATTCTTAAGTACCGTCTGGTACATTAACATTTAATAAGATATTACAAATATGTACAAGTAAGTGTGTATGTATGTGTGTAAGTGCTCTAAGTAGTTCGCTATGTCTCACGACTCGACTAGACTTAAACAAGTGACTGACAAAGTCCTCAAATAAACTAAGTTCTTGACCAACTGGCAGTCAGAACAGTCTGCTTGAACAATAAAAAGAATGCTAAGCTCAATAGCAATATAACAAGCAACTGCGACACAGAATCAGGAACGAGGAGATGACATAACGACACTAAGTAGGGACCATCTGCAGATCCTCCACAAAAGTCACAAAACTCCCATACTACTGAATCTAAGTTCAGCATAAGAAAATCCCTGACTGTGATAATACACAGGTACCAGTACAAATTAGGTCAGAAGCTACAGCTCAGGACCTGAGTTGTTTAGAGTGTCTATGCGACACACAACCTCAGTACAACGTCGAAAATCACTAAGTCTATACAATGTTCTGTGAACAGAGTCTCCAGAACTAACAAGAATAATGAGACAGACAATCTGTCCAACCACACAGCGAGTCTAGACCAGACTGAATACTTCAGGCGAGGTGAGGACACCCCCCCTCGATCACGTGATAGCTCCGTGGATAGCTGCAGCTCAGAAACAGAAGCCGGCAGTCTAACGAGCCACAAGCAATAATTACAGTAGTTAGACAATCAAGACTTGAACTGAGCACATAATATATAACATCCTACCTAAGAACATTATGTCAAATAATATTATAAAGCAATATATTCACGATTTAGCTATTATTGCAAATATAAGCAGTTTAAAATTATATGAAAAGATAATAATTATATATATACATAATAATCATTGCAACCCATTCAGGGGTTTCAACAGGAGTACAGTGTTTCAAAACTTTTCTGCTTCTAACTGTAGTATTTGTTCTTCTATCTGGCTTCATTGTGGAGATGTTATTGCTCTCTACCGTTAATAGATCTTACGTTGTTTATCAAGTTCAAAGCTGAAGGGTTATCTAATATGCTGTCTACATTCCTTGATGTTCATGTCCATTGCTCAGTGACAGGCTTTTCTTTTTATGCATTGTGGCATGTACATTCACTGCAGCATCTGTCATGAGAAGAGCTCATGTTTCTCCATCTCCATGGCTTCCACATCTCTGATCTTCAATTTTTACGAGCTGAAATTTCTACTCTTCACATTTCATCCTCTCACCTTGGCTGTCTTCTTGATTTCTTAAACTCTGCCTAATATTAGATGAAATGCTGAATGAACTTTCTTCTCTCCTAAGTTCATTTCTCCAGTGAAAACTCCTGTACATGTACTTTGCTTTCTCTATACTGTACTGTACAGTGGACCCCCGGTTTACAATATTATTTCATTCCAGAAGTATGTTCAGGTGCCAGTACTGACCGAATTTGTTCCTATAAGGAATATTGTGAATTAGACTATTCCATTTCAGACCCCCAAACATGCACATACAAACGCACTTACATAAATACACTTACATAATTGGTCGCATTGGGAGCTGATCGTAAACCGGGGTTCCGCTGTATTTCTAATTTACAGAATGGTAATAACACCCTCCATCTTCTGAATGTTAAACTTGCATTTCCTCAAACTAATACACTTCATAACAGTGGTTCTTGCCTCTCCTCCTGCCACTGATGCTTCTGGTATCTCTTACTCCAGGTAAGATTTACCTGTTCTCTTACATGCTGATGAGACGAAGACTTGGAATCCTACCAGAGTGCAAAGCTTGCAACAAGTTTTTTTCTTTTGTCATATAGATAAGATGGTAGTATCTCCATTCATTTGTACAGTGTGCAAAACAGCCATTGTGCATCACTTCTCTAATTATGAAACAGGACAAAGAGGGATGTAATCAGAGGTTAAAGACCATTTGAGATTTGTAGCTTTCCCCAGTTATGTAAAGACTAATCTGATCAGCCTAGAGACGAGTGGTTTTTAGGAACTGATGTGTTGCTGATGAGTAACATAACATTTATGAAGGGATTCAGGAAAACCAGCTTTAGGCACTTTGATTCTGGAGGTGGAGAAGTACAGTGTATACACTTTGCAGGACGGGTAGGAATGTTGCAGGCCAGAGAGTCATTTTGAAAAGTGATGTTTGTGCACTTCTGGAAAGACAGCCTTTGAATGAGTGATGGAGTTTCCTACTTTGGATCACAAATTTTGTAAAAGGTTCATTAAAGTTAACCTAGATAGCTTACTGATGACAAAAAAATGCTCCATTTTAAATATTCCTGGCAGTCTCCTGCTTCTCTATATAAGTATTCGGCTGTTGATTTGTGAGGTACATCAATGGATGTTACGATTTCTGTTTATGTCCATTTGCCTAAGTGTAATATAATGATAAAAGTAGTGTACTGGTGTCTCTCACTTCATTCATGTAGGTTCGCCAGTACTTTCGGCCCGGGTCTTCTCCAGATGGTGACCCGGCGGTGGCCACCCCCCTTTGTGAGGGGGTGTCGTTCATCTTCTTTCTTCTGTCTTCTTACTTGGGGTCCTCCAGTTCGAGGGTGACTTACCTCTCACTGTATGTAATACACGGGTACCTGGCAGATGGTGTATAAACCGAAATCACATAGTGATATAAAAGATAGAAATTTGTAAATGTTCATTTCATACATGTTTAATGACCAAAGTTAATGAGAAGTTTTCACATTTGGGTTATTTACCAAGTTTCATTCCTAGTGGCATTTGTGATAGAACCACATTCATTCATATTGTTTTGATTAAACATGAGAGATCAAATTTAGAATATTTTTTTTATATATATTTTTTTTTACTGGGTGTATCTATGCATGAGCTTTTAATTGACTGCACCTGTGAGCTGATAGTACATAAATTTTTCAGTCTTATTAAAATATATAAAAAAAAAATTAATTTTTTCAGCTTTTATTCCACTGCTCATGCTAAATTTTTTGTCCATTAGTCTTGCCACTGAATTGGTTTAAATTACAGTATTTCCAAAATTTGAATCCAATTAATAGGAACACCTTAACTTAATAAAATGTCCAATTTTTTCTTGCAGAAATTCCACTAGTAGTTATAGGTTATTTTATAAAGTTCCTCAATAATATCACCTTTTCTGTATCATCTTTAAACAATTCTTGAAAAAGTTCACTTTATTATCTGGAATTTAAGCTTGCTTTGTATTTTTGTCGTGCATTTTCTTATGACCCATATTCTTGTACGAAGGCATTCAGGGAAAGTGTGTAGCCAGACTAGAGTGTTGGAGGTGTGAGACTCGGAACCTTTACTGTAAAAAATTGGTTGGGATGTTGTAGGCCAGAGTATTATTTGAATTGTGATGTTGATGCACTTTTGGCAGGTCACTTAATGAATATGTAATAGTGCTCCCTTCTGTGGCCCATCACATCTTAGTTGGCTATGACCATTGTGGTAAAATGAGTCGGTGTATTTATTCAGTGATTTAACTTTGCAGACACTGCTGAGTTTAAGTAAGCTGTGTAACCTAGCATCCACTATGCCAGGGTCGAGAGAAACAAGCATGCTGGAGGATGGCACCATGAGCTTGGAGGAGGAACTCATTATCTATCAGGAGCAGCTACCTGAGCCAGTCCTCACTGCACACTCCCTCGACCCAGATAGTATGAGAGTTCTTTCTCCTACCGAACTTGTTCATGTAAGTCCAGTTCATTCTTTGCATGTGGGTGCGTTTCTCAACACTTTCACCCTCACTCATACATAATCACTTTCTTTGCAGAGGCGCTCAGATACGACAGTTCAGAAGTTCCTCCAAACTGCCAACATTCCAAACCCCTCCTTTAAAGTGCAGGCATTGTACTTCCAGGACTCAAGTTTGGCTAACCGGTTTTCCTGAATCTCTTCACAAAATATTACCCTGCTCACACTCCATCAGCTCGTCAGGTCCCAAAAACCATTCGTCTCCATTCACTCCTATCTAACATGCTCACACATGCCTGCTGGAAGTCCAAGCCCCTCGCCCACGAAACCTCTTTTACCCCCTCCGACCTTTCCTAGGATGACCCCCTACCCCTCCTCCCCTCCACTACAGATTTATATACCCTCCAAGTCATCCTATTTTGCTCCATCCACTCTAAATGATCAAACCACCTCAACAATTCCTCTTTAGCCTTCTGGCTAATACTTGTAGTAACTCCACACCTCCACCTAATTTCCACACTACAAATTCTCTGCATAATATTTACACCACACATTGCCCTTAGACATGACATCGCCAGTGCCTCCAGCCTCCTCCTTGCTGCAGTATTTACAGCCCAAGCTACATCCATATAGGAGTGTTGGTACCACTGTACTCTTGTACTTTACCTTCTTTGCCTCCATGGATTTTTTTTTTTTTTGTCTCCACTTGCCTTTTTTTCTCCATCATTTCTATGGTTAACATCATCCTTCATAAACCCATCTGCTGACAAGTCTACTCCCAAATATCTGAACACATTCATTTTGCCATACTCCCTCCCTGTAATATGGGAGGGAGTATCAGTTTAATAGCCTCATCACCTTACTCTTTTCTATGTTCACTTTCAACTTTCTACCTTTACACACCTTCCCAAGCTCATCCACTAACCTTTGCAACTTCTCTTTAGAATCTCCCTAATGCAGAGTATCATCAGCAAAAAGTAACTGTGTCAACTCGTATTTTGTATTTGATTCATCATACTTTAATCCCACCCATCTCCCCAACAACCTAGCATATACTTCTTTTACAGCACTATCTATAAATATCTTAAACAAGCATGGGGGCATTACACATCCCTGTTTAAGACCTACTTTTACTGGAAAGTAATCTCTCCTATACACCCTAACCTGAGCCTCACTGTCCTCATTTATTTATTTATTTTTCAGCTTCTCCTTGTCTTGCACAAAGTCATATTATTCATGTCTGGATCTTTTGATACTTGTGGCAAGCAGTAAATAACTGAAAAAAATCTTTGGAATTTTCCATGGCAATTAATCTCTGCTATATAATTTAAAATTATTATTATTATAATCATGGGGGAGCGCTAAACCCATAGGATTATACAGCAAAAGTAGGGGGGGGGGGATGGAAGGCATTCAGGCTCAATTCAGAGAACCAGAGCACAGATCCAATTCCCTAGATCAAGAGCCCCTCACCAGCATCAAGGAACCTCCCTTGAGGGGATATAATTTAAAAAAAAAAATATCTGGAATTAAAACATCAAATCTCCATATATTTTTTTCCTTTCCGTGAATGCATTAGTATCTGAGAAAATGCAGTCTGTAATTGTGATGAGGTCAGTACAGGTATTTCCTCTCTTACATTAGTTTTTGATTGCATCTGTGTACATACTGTAATGTGCTATACATTTTTACCAGGTCACTTGTGAATGGTTTTGTGGAGCTGGTGCGTCAATGTAGCTAGTGTATAATATAATTAAGCTCGTAGACCATGTATTATTATTATTATAATCAAGGGGGAAGCGCTAAACCCGGAGGATTATACAGGGCCGGGGGGGGGGGGATGTGGAAGACATTCAGGCTTAATTCGGGGAACTGGAGCACAGATCCAATTCCCTAAATCAAGAGCCCCTCACCAACATCAAGGAACCTTCCTTGAGGGGCGTAGACCATGTAAAACATTAGTCTTTTGCCTTGATGCTGAGGGAACCTTGATCAAACCTTATATTCTCCCATTCTTCTTATTGGATGAACCCTGGGAGGGTTCTGGCTTCCTCTTGTTATATCACCCTATTAATATTTCACAACTTTATATGAATTAAAATTTGTCCTTTATAATTTCTTTCAGCTGTACACCAGTGAAGAAAATTTTTATGCTAATGAATTTGACTTCAAGAAGGCACTAGACCTCCTGTCATTTGTGCCGTTAGAGGAAGTGTACGAGCTTAAGCGAGACATCTGGGTGCGCGCTGTGTTGAGAAACTCCTGGCAACACATGGACACAGATAATCCTCTCGATGCCATCAGTGACACTGTCCTGTTCAAGACCATAGAATTAGCATTTACCCAAGGTAATTTTGTTTCACATATTTTCTTGCATATTGTGTAAGAGCCATTCCTCCATGTGAATTTGGGAAACAGGATAAAAACTATTTAATATTATTGATATAGTACTATATTTTCAATCATGTAAGGTGTGCTCCCCCCACAAAAAAAATCTCAAAATCCACCCACATCTCAAATGCTCAAGGTCAGGAAAAAGTGTAGGCTTTTGGTTACTAGCAGTGATTTTTTTTTTTTTCCTCAACAAGTTGGCCGTCTCCCACCGAGGCAGGGTGACCCAAAAAAGAAAGAAAATCCTCAAAAAGAAAATACTTTCATCATCATTCACCACACTCACACATTATCACTGTTTTTGCAGAGGTGCTCAGAATACACCATACCCCCGGCCGGGATTGAACCCGCGGTCATAGAGTCATTACGATTTCTTAAGTCGTGCTCAGAATACATTTGCCCAGAGCTAAACTGTCAGCAAACCTAATCTAACTTTTTTTCTGTGAGTATTCCCATTCATACTGACAAGTGGTGGTTTCAGTGATATGGTACTGGTGGAATACCCCTCCCCCCTCCTGTTCCATACAAAACTGTTTCCTAGATTAAATTTCAAGTGTTTAGCAACTCTCATAATTTATAACTTGCATATTACTGGTACTTAATAAGCCACTTATGGCCCTAATGCATTCCTGCACTTGATTGCAACTTGCTTGTTTGGAACTAGAAATGTAAGCTATACTGGTAGATACATTCTGAAGCATAATATTCCACATCTAATATATTTTTTAACAATGTAATTAATATCACTGTGCAATACCTAGGTAAGTTCCTTTTGTATGGGATAGCAACAGCACTTCCTTCCTGTCATATCTGACAATATTCCTTACATATGCTACCCATCTCACTGGTTATAGTGAGTGTATTATATGCTTTGACATGAGGTGTTGGATGGTGTAGTGAAGGTTGCAGTGTGTATAAGGAAGAGTTGTGGTGTGTTGCCATCCAGGAGACCATTCTTCCCCAAACAAGTGAGCTTAAAACACACACAAAGCATATGCACATTAAATAACATTACTTAAGGTGATTTATTTTATAATTTAGTTTAAAAAATTTGCGATTAGGTGTACTATTCATTAACCGTCTGTACCAAACAATCTCTCCGCTTATGCACGTGTACTGTAATATCAGTGAACTTAGTTTTAACTAAGAAAAATAAAATAATTCAGCTTTAAATTGTAATATATAAATCTACACTTCTTGACCAGTTTCTGGTAAACAAATGAGAGCCCTTCACATATGCATAAATTTAACCAGTGTAAAATATAAATGCATTTGGTGAATAACAGAAAAAAAAATTATGAAGTTTGTGTCAACAGGATAACATTTGTGAGACATTTATCAATTCTAAAGTAACCCCAGTTTTAAGTGCAGTTGTTTGTAAATTGGGGACCTGTTATATAGGAAATTAATTTTACTCTATAATTGAGGCAATTTGTATGATTTATTAAACCTGTTTTTTGTAAATGATAATTCTTCAGTTTTAGAGATGCCACACAAATGTATTGGAGCACTTTGTTTCACTTGGGATTTTTAACTGTAATTGTTGTTTCAGGTAGCGATATGCAGGAGCTGCTGATCCCCGCTGAAGATTTGCTGTCCTCTGACAAGCTCGGAGATCTAAAGGAGGACTCCACCTTTAAATTTCTTGTGAATGCTGGCTATGAGAAGATTCATCAACTTATTGGCTGAATGTACCAAGTAACACTCAGATATTTGAGGGAGAGTGGACTGAATTAGTGATGAGACTGCAAAAACTTTATTCATGTTGGCCCGCATGCTGCTAGTAGAAACAGTGTTTGATCAAGCAGTCCATAAATGTAGTTTGGCCTCCAGTCATGGGCATATGTTAGCTCAGCATTAAGTCTTATTTAAATAAGCTCTCACATGAAGAGCCTATATATATTGCAATTTTTCATAAATGTGGTTGAAAGAGCACTGAAACTAATGATTTGTACTATGAAGACCTTTCTTTGTATTGCTCGTAAATGCATAAGTTCAGTCAGTATAAAAAATTGCAATATATGACAGCGTGCTATATAATATTATCATAGGGAGTGCTAAACCCATATGGATTATAAAGCTCCTGTGGTGGGGGGGAATGGAAAGTATTCAGGGAACTGGAGCACAGATCCAATTCCCTAGATCAAGAGCCCTTCACCATCGTCTAGACCAAAGGAGTTATAAAATGTTTTATAAGTTTTTAGTACAGCCTCTCCTCACTTAACGACAGAGTTCCGTTCCTCAGACCACGTCGTTAAAGTAATTCGTTGCTAAATGAGGAGCATACTATGATGTAGTGGATTTGTGTCAACCATGTTTAATATTGTTTTAATGTTACCTTTGTACTATTTATAACATTGGTCTATTTTTAAATGTTTATTACAATATACATAACACTGCTGTATAAACAGAATAGAGGAAATCAGCCCTTAATATACATTTAGGTATGGGTCAGAGAGCCCATCGTAAGTCAGAGTCGTCGGTAAACGAGTACGTCGCTAAGTGAGGCGAGGCTGTATTTTATAATGGTACAAAATGTTTAGTTATGTGTAAAATGAAAGAAAAAACTTCCACTGCCATTTGTAAAAAAAATTTATTAGTGTCCAATATTACATGACTGTACATTTATATTCATTATATTGTAACACGAAACAAAATATAAACGTGTATTTCAGTGATTATTATTGTAAATGTTATATAGCAAGATAGAGACACAAAAAAATAACATCTTTATAGCAAATACTTTTAAAATATATTACAGAAAGTATCAAGTATTTGAATGAAAGTGTAACCTACTGTATATATGGCAGGTACACTGATATGCTGAGTATACATGTGCAGCATATACTAGTCTAGACCACATGCAGCATATAATTGGTGTATGTGGTGTATATTTGCTGCAGATAATGGTATATATATGTGCTACATACAGTTCATCGGTATATATGGTCATTTAACTCCATATGCTGAATTTACAGATTATGCAGTATATACTATGGTATATACAGTATATGTGCTCCATGAGCAATTTATAATACAGCACATATACTACATTACCATAATATATACTTCACACAATCTGTAAATTCAACATGCGCAGTTGTGACCATATGCGGCATATAATACACTTGCATGTCTAACACTTATGGGAAGTACTAAACCCGTGAGGGTCACTCGGCAGTATAAATGATATTGTCAAAATAAAGGAAGTTTTATTTTAAGTGATATATATGAGAGAAAAGTTTGCAGTAACAATATATGTAGACAACTTAAGAGTATATTTGGTATAATTTAACAAGATACAACACAATGACAATGTAGTAAAAGTATCAATCAGCAAACTATTTTATATATAAATTTCATGCATGTAAACACTTGTGGATGATATTTTGCACATTTTGTTTCATTACTCTTAACAGATATATTGATGAAAAACAAGAACTTGTGCACAGTCTTATACCTCAACTTAATATTGTATTAATTACATTTAGAAAAAACTAACAAGGGTTCATGATACACTGGTCATGAACAGCCTGTCCATAATTACAAGGATTTTCAATTATACTCACAAAAATCACTGAACCTGTGAGGATAATACAGTACTACAGCTGTGTATAATTGTGGCTTATTATTTTAAAATTTCATAGATGTTATTCTGGTTACCAGGTATTACCCCATGTTAAGTATTCAGTATACCAGACATTAACAAATATGCTCAAGATATACCCTGGAACTAAACTAAATTTATATGGCATTTAAGATACTTTTATTAAATCCACAAATGAGTTTACTAATACCAAATTTTTAAGTCAATTATCACTATGTACTTGGTCTTTATTATCCATTTTGTAAAGAGGAAATTAACACTACTTTACACATTAGGTCCCCTCAAGGAAGGTGCCTTGATGTTGGTGAGGGGCTCTTGATTTAGGGAATTGGATCTGTGCTCCAGTTCCCCGAATTAAGCCTGAATGCCTTCCACATCCCCCCCCCAGGCGCTGTATAATCCTCCGGGTTTAGCGCTTCCCCCTTGATTATAATAATAATAATACACATTAGTTGACCATTAACCCTTTGACTGTTTTGGTTGTATATATATATCTTACGAGCCAGTGTTTCGAACGTATGTATACGCAATAATTCTAGCGGCTTCAAATCAAGCAGGAGAAAGCTGGTAGGTCCACATGCGAGAGAATGGGTTTGTGTGGTCAGTTTGCACCACAAAAATCCTGCAGCACGCAGTGCATAATGAGAAAAAAAAACTTTTTGGATTAAAACGCCGACTTTGAGGTGTATTTTCGTATAGTATTTCACTTTGTATTCTTGTTTTCATGGTCTCACGTGATAAAATGGGAAACGTATTGCAGAAAGAGATGATTTTGATTAGTTTCAAGATGAAAACGACCTTGAAATTGAGCTCAAAGTAGCGGAAATTTTCGATTTTTACCAATGTTCGAGAGTAAGCAAATCACATCACACGTTCAATACACGTCAACTGGGGAGTCTAATATTCTTTCACAAGTGCACTGATATTATTTATACCATTTTTACAATAATACAGTAGTCTGCATAACAGTAAATTTTGTATTTTTTGTATGAATAAAAAATCAAAATAGAAAGCAATAGTAATATAAGAGGGGCCTAGAGACATGACTAATGAACAGAGGATATGTTATTTTAGTGCCAAGAATGTCTACATTGTTTATTCTGGACCCTATTTTGAAATTGGCATCTTTTTTAATTTGTTTGAAATTGGCCAAACTGCCAATTTCTGACCACTTGATTGGGTAGTCCAAAAAAGTAAACGAGCAGTTTCTTGTACTCAACTGATAGAAAAAATGGAGTTCTAAAGAAATAGCTATGAGTTTGGTCAACTGGAACAACGGAATTGGCCAAAAATGGCTCAAAATCGGTGAAATCGCTGATGTGCATATGTCGCCAAGACCACTAACTTCGCGGGAGCGTAATTCCTCGAGTTTGACCAAATTTCGTACTTTTGGTGTCATTACCATCAGAAAAAGATTCTCTATCATTTCATAAGAAAATATTTTTTTCCCAAAAATTTTGCGACATAGAATGACAGTTTCAGAAAGGGACTTGCGACAGTCAAAGGGTTAATGCCAGGGAGATGTAGTAGTGGTGTTTGTAGTACTTGTGGCGCTAGTATCAAAGTGCATGACTTCATGGAGGAATATTGAATAATTAACTTGCATTATTATTGTTTATCAAGCCATAACTTTCTTCAATAAATGCTTGCCAATGTATTTCATTTTACACTAACTAAATATGGCAGGTTCCAAATGGAATGTGGATAAGTAATTTATAATATTGAGCATCACAGCTTTACTTAACTTAATCTTCATCAAATTTAATTGTGTCTATAACTAGAGAAAAATGTAAACAAAATATCATCAGACTCATTCCTATGAGCTTGAAATATTGTCATGAAAAAAAAAAAAGGCTAATACTAACATGTTGAGCATTCAATAGCAGCAATGGAATTTTTTATGATTCTAAGAACCATCACTGTACTTAACCCGTAAACGGTCCAAATGTATATATACGTTTTTTCAACATTTGAAAGTATGTAAAAAAAAGTAGATCTTTGTTTTTTTTGCATTTGAAAGTGTAAAAAACTTTGATCTACTTTTTTTTTGTTATATTTGAAAATATGTAAAAAAAAAAACAGATCTACTTTTGTAGCGCTACACATGTGAACGTAGATCTGCTTGGACCGTTTACGGGTTAAAATACTTTCACTGGAACAAACATATTGGTAACTTGCGAGATGCTTGTTTGAGCAGTTAACAAAACCCAACCCATTATCTGGTGTGACGAGATCTCAAAGTCTAGCCTCTGACATTTTCATTACCATAATCACACTGTTCTAGGCCATTCCAATTTGTTGGTTGGTAAACATTTTTGCATTTTCCAGCCATTATTAAAATCTGGATTTTTACACCAAGAATTAAAAAAGTTAAAAATATATTTGACTTTTCGATAAAAAAAAAAGTACGTTCTAGATATATCTATTGCTGAGTATTGCCATGACTTTCCTATGCTACACTAATACACAACTAGCACCACTTGAAAGGTCTGACTAGCCTAGTAAGATTGTTGGGGCTATGCTCATAGGACAGCTGCCAGGAGTGGTCTTGTGGGCATCACCATAGTTTCTTACCCCATGAGGAAAAATGGGTATGGCCAGTCTTACCCACAAAGTTAAATAGGTATGGCCAGTCTTTTTTTTTTTTTTTTCAACAAGTCGGTCGTCTCCCACCGAGGCAGGGTGACCCAAAAAAAAGAAAGAAAATCCCCAAAAAGAAAATACTTTCATCATCATTCAACACTTTCACCACACTCACACATTATCACTGCTTTTGCAGAGGTGCCCAGAATACAACAGTTTAGAAGCACATACGTATAGAGATACACAACATATCCCTCCAAACTGCCAATATCCCAAACCCCTCCTTTAAAGTGCAGGCATTGTACTTCCCATTTCCAGGACTCAAGTCCGACTATATGAAAATAACCGGTTTCCCTGAACCCCTTCACTAAATATTACCCTGCTCACACTCCAACAGATCGCCAGTCTTACCCATGAAAAACATGTAGGGCTGTCACACAAGGCCACTTCTGGTTGCCTCCTCTCTAGTCTTGGAATTTTTACACAGACACATACAGCTTCTGTCTGTGGCAGATATAGGCTATGATGATCCACATACTTGTGCCCCAGAGGTTCATGATGAGATAATTGGCATGATGCTCTCCAACTGGCGTCCATGACCAGGGAAACAATCCACCACAAATTTCATGCCCCATATACACCAAGATGGAGTTCATACCTGCAAGGAAGGAACTGTTTTAACAATTATCATGATGGTCTAAACAGTATCCCTTCAAGAAGATGGAGAGGCACCTTTATACTGATGTAGGGCTCTTGATTCAGAGAACTGGAGCTACCCTTCCCATCATACACAAGCTTCATCACCTCCCAACCCCACCCCTCAAAAGGAGGTAACTTAACATGCGAAGGGCTCTTGATCCAAGAGCTTGAACTCTACCTCCCGCTCTTGGATTGAACCCGACTGCTTCTCGCTTCCTATGGTGTGGGTTTACCATTCCACTCCCATGAATGAATTAATCATTTTTCAGGGTTTAGCATTTCCCAAAAATACAATAATGAAAAGCTATATAGCCTGGCAAGAGAATGGCTCCTTATGCAACTTTTAAGAAAATATTAAGTAGGGCCTTTGCACAATAAAGACTTTTAAATAACCATTTTATCAACAATGCAATAAATAATCAGCACAAATAATTCTGCCTTGTGAATTATTAAGCATTCCAAATTCTCTTTCAAAGTTCACTGTATGTGGTAGAATTTGATTCAACATGGGTTTCACCGATTAATTTTGACTAGGTGTCCATGTTCATCTGGGGTCTGGCTGTGTGGCTAAAGTACTGTTGATCTTGATGCTGCAAACACAGGTTCAAGTACTGCTGTGGACTGAGATAATCTTTGTAAATAATTTTGCCTGTTTGTGAACTGTTAAGTGGAGGTTCCACTGTATACTTATGAGTGCATCCACGAGCGAGTATTTCCAGATACGCGCAGTCCCGCTGTCGATTTTTTGCTTCCATTTGCAAGCGAAATTTCCAGATGAGAGAGAGCCTCAAGGGAGGTTCCTCAATGCTGGCGAGGGGCTCTTGCTCTAGGGAATTGTATTTCAGTCGTTTGTTGGACTATCTTATTGAAACTCGGGTAATGTATGATGGAAAGGTGCTTCTTAACGTACACCAAAACTGAAAGAAATTGGACCATAAATAACGGAGTTCACCTCTCAGCCATTAGCAGCATATTTTCGTATGGTTTTTATGGTTGTATTCTTTTTTTTTTTGTCTCACTGAATAGAATGGAAGATATACTACAGAAATAGATATGATTTTGATTGATTTCATGACGAAAAGTACCTTGAAACTGAGTTCAAACTAGCAGAAATGTTCAATTCTTTGGTAATGTTCAAGAGTAAACAAATGACGTCACCGTCCAACACCTGTCCGATTGGCACTGCTCCTCAGCCTTCACATACTGGAAAGCACCTCAACACGCTAGCAAAAGTGGAAGCAGACATCATGAGGTAACAGTGGCAGACAACATGAAGCAGTAGTGGCAGACCTTGTACCTTGAAAACTACCTTCTTGTACCCTGGTAGCAACCTTGCTGTACCCTAGTTGTACCCCAACAACAACAATGCCCGCTGTCGCCACCACTAGCTATACAAGTAATGACACGATTTTATTCATTCTAGTGTATATACAGTGGATCCTCGTTTTTCATAATTAATTCGTTCCAGAGTGTGTGTGACCATTATCGAAATTGACGATTTGCGAATCCATTTTCCCCATAAGAAATAATGTAAATCCAATTAATTCGTTCCAGACACCCAGAAGTATTAAAAAAAAAATTAAAAAAAAAAAAAAATTTTTTACCTTGAAGATAGATTTACATGCACAAAAGAATGAACATTCAACATGACAGTTACCTTTATTGAAGGTTGTTGTTGATGGTTGGAAGACAGGGAGGAGGAGAGAGGGAAGAGGTTATTGTTTGGAAAGGATATCGCCCTCCATAAGGACTAAGTACCAAGTCCTTATCGGGGGTCACTTCCCAAAGCTTAAATATAGATTTACATGCAGAAAAGAATGACAAATGTAAAGCACTAATAAAATGTATATATGAACATTTAACATCACACTTACCTTTACTGAAGACTCTTATTGGTGTATGGCAGACGGGGCAGAGGGAGGAGAGGCGAGTTTATTGTTGGAGAATATGACACCAATATCAACTCTACAGCTTATTTATCACAATTCAAATAATATGACATAATAAACAATATTAATAACATAGAATATACTCTAGAATGAATAAAATAAGTCTATGTATGTCACGAGAGGTGTTGTTGGGTGTATAAGGGTCACTGTGAGCATAAGCCGTCCATAATGGTGGTGAAGCAGCAGTTGAGGCGCCAGTGTTTTCTGTAGTCCTATATAACTCCAACAACATTGGAGGAGTTAGTAAAATCACTGAAGGCACCCTCTAACACCATCTCAACCACTACCACTCTCTACCACTATCACAACTGCTACCATCACTACCACCTATCACAACTACTGCTACCACCATCACTACCATCTTCTACCACTATCACAACCACTACTACCCTCTACCACAACTGCTACCGCTACCACCACCACTTTCGTATTTTTCTACAAACTTTCTTAAATTATATGTTTGTCACATACTTTACCAAAGGGCTGGCACTAGAAGCTTTCTTTGGAGCCAAGGTGGCTTATTTAGCAGTTGCAAGCACTAAAACAAATGGAATATTATGAAATGTATGAACTCGTGGGATCATCCTCACTCACTAATAAACAATGGCACACTGGCTGGGAATGGAGTGTGAGGTTGCTCGGGGCTGTGCATACACGTCGGAGAGAAACTATTTTTGAGTCAATGTTTTGATGAAAAAAATGTTATGATTTTCAAGCCTTATGAAAAACGATGGCCCACTGTATCATGTTTTTATGTTATTGTTTGTCATATTAGATGAACTGTTATAGGTAAATAAGCCGTGGAGTTGATATTAGGGAAATTACTGAAGTATTTTGTTGTTCCTGGAATTCCACTGGAATGGATTAATTTCATTTCAATTAATTTAAATCAGGAAAATTGACTGCAAATAAGCAAATCCAGATGCGAGCAAGGTCACAGAACGGATTAAACTCGTGAGTGGAGGTTCCACTGTATATGCATGAAAAAAAAATACCGGTGGTGTGCTTTATAGTTATCTGTTTACAATAATGTCTTATCACTGATTTCATCATTGCTTAGTTAATCTTAAGTTAATTTTAAGCCCGCCCTTAATGCTATGCATATAAGTGGCTTTGGCATGCTGCTCTTATCTGTAGTTTTTGTACCTCTGTATGTATGCTAAAATTTCTAAATAAATAAATAAATAAATAAATAGTCAGTCATTTATTATTTCCTCATTATTTAGGCAGGTATATTTATTTTTATTATCAAAACGATCACCCTCGTCAAAGTTGATTAGCCAGATGCAAACCAGTCGAGAACTTTTTCACCCTTAAACTGTCCAAACGTAGATCTACGCTCACGTGCATAGCGCTCCGAATGTAGATCTACATTTTTCTTTTTACATTTGAAAGCATGTAAAAAAATGTAGATCTAAGTTTGGACAGTTTAAGGGTTAATTAAAAACATTTATAAAACATAAAAACTGCACGTAACATCCCAACTTTTTCTACCAAAATTGTTTCCTCTGCATGGTATTTTATTTGAACAAAAATATTTAGTATAAAACAGAGATGAAAAGTCATAGTTTTGGTATTCAAGAAATTGTATGTCTGAGGCTCGTACCTCAACAAGACAGACATACTTAAATATACACTGGACCCTCGAATTTAGTCGTGCTGTTTCTGTATGCAAAACTATTTTTATCTATAAAATGTATTTTTTTTTAATATTTTTGGGTGTCTGAAATGGTTTAATCGGATTTCCATTATTTCCTATGGGAAATATTAACAAAAAATACATTTTAAAGATAATAATAGTTTTGTATACAGAAACTGCACTACTAAATTCGAGGGTCCACTGTAATAGAAAGTAAGAGAACAGCTAGCCACTTGCACCACTTACCAGCATATCTAAGTGGGCTGCCATTCCACCACTGCCATTTGTCTATAATCAAGTACAGGAATGACAGAAGTAAGAAAGCAAAGCAGGCCGTGACGAATACAAAGGAGAGCGACCATAGGTTCTTGTTGACCGGGATTGGACCACTTTCCTTATGCCAGCTACAGAGAAAGCCTGCTAGCATACCCTAAAGGAAAAATGTAAATAATTTAGAGATAAAAAATCAAGTAACACCATACTATCAAGACATTAAGAAACAATTTTTAAAATACAGTGGACCCCCGGATAACGATCGACTCCCAACTCGACCAATTATGTAAGTTTATTTTTGTAAGTGCTTTTGTAGGTGTATTTTTAGGGGTCTGAAATGGACTAATCTAATTCACAATATTTCTTATGGGAACAAATTCGGTCTATAACGGCACCTAAACAGACTTCTGGATTGAAATAATATCATTATGCGGGGGTCCACTGTATGTACTATAGCTGGGAAGCTCTATGACCCTTGTGTTTGACTGTAATAATAATATAGCTATAAAAGGCCTCAATCTACAAACTAGACAAGCTTAGAATTTAATATACGAGTCAAACTGTGCTACGACTCCTAGGTGAGCTGGGAAACAAAGCACAAGAAAATGTGTCTGCACGTTTCACCTCACTCACCGGCCATTGTGTGGAATGAAGAACTTCCAGATTTTCTAAATACTCGGCAGGGTCACTGAAGCTGAAAACTTGGGTACCTTCAAATATAGCTTAGATAAATACACTAGTGAGAGGGTTTGTATCTGAGTGGGACTTGCACAAGAGTAATAGGGTTATCAAAGCTTATTTCTTGGGTAACACTGACAATGGGTTGGGCGAATATTTTTTAGTGGGTTTAGATTTGAAAGGAACCGTCAGGTATAGGCTGGTAGGCCTACCACAGTGTTCCTTGTTTCTTATGTTCATGATTAGAGGAGCACTGCAATAGTTCTATTGACTCAGGTTAAACATGTCCTAGCATGTTTACCCATCATTCTAACCCCAGTACTTCACTTTTTTTTTTGTTTTTCACACAGGCTGTTTTCCACTAGGGTACGGAAGCCCAAACGAAGAGGAAGTGCATTCACCATCGTTTGTTCAATCTATGTCTTGCTAGAATGGTTATACCATCAGAGTTGAGAAAAGATTTCAAACTGCAACATACTCACCCCAGTTTTAGAGTGCAGGTACTATACTTCCCACTGCCAGGGCTCAAGTCCAGCCAACTTGTTTCCCTGAGTCCTCTCCTAAACACTACCTTGCTCACACTTCAACAGCATACCAAGACCACAAAAACCACTTGCCTACACTCACCCTAACCTAACTCACTCACACAAGCCTTGTAAATATCTACAGCAAGTCCTCGACGTACAACACATTGGGGACCTCCTGAACTGTATATGTTCATAATACAGGAAGTCTTCAATGTACAAACATGCTGGGGATGTTGTGTACTGTGTATAATAATGATACAAATATACGTATTACAGTATACACAATATTATAAACACACTGAACATCTCCTGTACTGTGTTTAAGTCGAGGACTGACTGTATTCCCAGCATACCCATCGGCTGTCCTTTCTCAGTACCCAAACCTTTATAACATTTCTATCAACTCATTTCACTACTCAACACTTTACATATTTTCAACACAGATGATTTTAGCAAATGATATTATGAACAATTATTTATACCATATTCACAGAGCACTTGGGGAATGAAAGGTAATCGGATTGGAGTCACTCTCGCCTTGGATCAAACCTAACGAGATGCCCGACACAATAGCAATATAATAAAATACCTGCAGCATAGATAAATTAGAATAAAAAGCAACCGATGAGACTTACACAGACAATGCCCCAAATAATCCAGCGTTTAATGCGTGAGTCATGGTCCTGATAGGTGACAATGATGCGTCCAGCTGCCGCTCCCAATTGTACCTGAAATAAACAGTCTTTGCATATCTGAAAGAAGTATACGAATCTATTTTAAACAATGGCCATCTCCCACTCAGGCAAGGTGACCTGAAAAAGAAGAAATGTAAAGTTTTTTTTTTTTTACGTTTAGTTAGTTATACAGCAGAAGGATTAAGGATTTTATTTCTTTGCATAGTTTACAATGTGTAATTACAATTTTGATTTCCTAAGTACAAAGAAAGTCACAGTCTGGTTAACCAGTGTGTGGTTGATTGGTGCAAGGAGTGGTGCAGGCCACCAGTAACAGCCTGGTTGATCAGACCCTGATCCATCACGAGGCCTGGTCTCAGACTGGGCCGTGGGGGCATTGATCCCTGAAACCCTCTCCAGGTATACCATGCCAGGGCACTTCAGGCAGACTAAACCTAATGCTTATCAGACTACTTAATACTAGGAAGGGGTTACTAGCCCCTCACTCCCGCCATTTTAGTCGCCTCTTATAATACGTAAATGTGACTCATGAAGGAAGGATTCTTCTCTACTTTTAATTAAATAATTCATATTAAGCACTAAACTCATGTGGGTCATTCAGCTTAAGATGTGGTGGAGGCTTGATCCTCTGTCTTCCGAGTGCGAGAGACGCACCTCATACTTGTACTCTTGTGTATGTCTAAAATATTGCATAAAAACCTTGTTTATCCGGTAGATGCAAACATTTACTCCATGCCCAAGATAATGTACTGATAAACAGTAAGTTCAAACATAATAAAAATCTTTCATCAATCTCTGTTGATGGTTCCACAAATTATCATTCGCATTTTTTTGGTCTTTCACAAAACTTCCTCACACTGGAAAAACAATTTTATTGGAATAAAAACTATGAAGCTGGGGGAGATGTAGTGTTGGAGTGGTTGGGGTTTTGTTTAATAAATGTATGAAAGCGGGGAAGGTACCTAGGGATTGGCAGAGAGCGTGTATAGTCCCTTTATATAAAGGGAAGGGGGACAAAAGAGATTGTAAAAATTATAGGGGAATAAGTTTACTGAGTATACCAGGTAAAGTGTATGGTAGGGTTATTATTGAAAGAAATTGAGTTAAGACAGAAAGCAGGATTGCAGATGAGCAGGGAGGCTTTAGAATGGGTAGGAGATGTGTAGATCAATGTTTACATTGAAGCATATACAATGGAACCCTGGTTTTCGTTTTTAACCCTTTGACTGTCGCGGCCGTACATATACGTCTTACGAGGTACCGTGTTTGACGTATATATACTCATAAATTCTAGCGGCTTCAAATCAACCAGGAGAAAGCTGGTAGGCCCACATGCGAGAGAATGGGTCTGTGTGGTCATTGTGCACCATATAAAAAAAAAAATCCTGCAGCACGCAGTGCATAATGAGAAAAAAAAAACTCCGACCCTTTTTTTTAATTAAAATGTTGACTTTGTGGTCTATTTTCGTACAGTATTTATGGTTGTATTCTCGTTTTCTTGGTCTCATTTGATAGAATGGAAAACATTATAGAAATAGAGATAATTTTGCTTGGTTTTACTATAAAAAGAACCTGGAAATGGAGCTCAAAGTAGGGGAAATGTTTGATTTTTGCCGATGTTCAAAAGTAAACAAATGATGCCATTGTCCAATAAATGTCCAACTAGCCATTCTAATATGCAGTCATGAATGGGTTGATGTTATTTATACAATTATTACAGTATTGCAGTAGTCTGCATAACAGTAAGTCTTCTATTTTTTGTTTGAATAAAAATTCAAAATAGAAAGCAAGAGTAATATCAGAGGGGCCTGGAGACGTGACTGATGAACAAAGAAAATGTTATTTTAGAGCCAGGAATGTCTGCATTGTTCATTCTGGACCTTATTTTGAAATTGTCATTTTTTAATTTTTGTGAAATTGTCCAAATTGCAAATTTCTGACCACGTTATTGGGTAGTTGAAATCGGTAAATGGGCAGTTCATTGTACTCACTCGATAGAAAAAACGGAGTTCTAAAGAAATAGCTATGAGTTTGGTTGACTGGAACAATGGAATTAGCCGAAAATAGGGCTCAAAGTGGGCGAAATTGCCGATTCGTAAATATCGCCGAGGTCGCTAACTTCGCAAGAGTGCAATTTTGTCAGTTTTCCATCAAATTTCGTTTTTTTGGTGTCATTACAATCTGGAAAAGATTCTCTATCATTTCATAAGAAAAAACAATTTTTTTTTTTTTTTTTTTTTTTTAAATTTTGCGACACCAGGAGACACCTCAGGATTGGGGGTTGCGACAGTCAAGGGGTTAATCCTTTCCAGAAGATCGGCAAAAAACTGATTTGTGCGAAAACTGAAGTAATATTTCCCGTAAGAAATAATGTATATCCAATTACTTTGGTTGTCTGAGACCAGCCCTCGTGGTAGATCAGGGTCTGATCAACCAGGCTGTTACTGCTGGCTGCACACAAACTGAAGTATGAACCACAGCTCAGCTGGTCAGGTACTGACTTTAGGTGCCTGTCCAGTGCCTTCTTGAAGACAGCCAGGGGTCTATTGGTAATCCCCCTTATGTATGCTGAGAGGCAGTTGAACAGTCTTGAGCCCCTGACACTTATTGTGTTGTGTCTCAGTGTACTCGTGGTGCCCCTGCTTTTCATTGGGGAAATGCTGCATTTCCTGGGTTCCAGGGAATACAAATCAAGGGACTTCAACCATTCCCAGTAATTTAGGTGCCTTATCTTACTTATGTGTGCCATGAAAGTTCTTTGTACACTCTCCAGGTCAGCAATTTTGCCTGTGCAAGAATGGTGTATAATACCGACAAGATGAAATTAAGACACATGTGCAACATCTGGGTATCTTTATTGTAGACGTTTCGCCATCCAGTGGCTTTATCAATACAAATTCCAGGACATAACTTCAAGACAGTAAGACTCTGTACAGAAGATGAGGTAATCAGTCCCCCAACCTTGGAGTAGGTGCGAAGAGCACCGTAGTCGTGGAGATAAGCGCCAGGCTCCTTGCTTCTGCTTCAGAATCTCCACGACTACGGTGCTCTTCGCACCTACTCCTAGGTTGGGAGTACTGATTACCTCATCTTCTGTACATAGTTCTACTGTCTTCAAGTTATGTCCTAGAATTTGTATTGATAAAGCCACTGGATGGCAAAATGTCTACAATAAAGATACCCAGATGTTGCACATGTGACTTAATTTCAATTTTGCCTGCCTTGAAGGGGGCAGTTAGTGTACAGCAGTATTCCAGTCTAGAGAGAACAAGTGATTTGAATAGAATAATCATGGGCTTGGTGTCCCTAGTTTTGAAGGTTCTCATTATCCATCCTATCATTTTCCCAGCAAATGCGGTAGATACATTGTTGTGGTCTTCGAAGGCGAGATCCTCTGACATTATCACTCCCAGGTCCTTCACATTACTTTTTCGCTCTACTGTATGCTTAGAATTTGATGTATACCCTGATAGTTTTAATTTCCTCAAGTTTTCCATTATAGGTAGTAGGTTGGTAGACAGCAACCGCCCAGGGAGGTACTACCGTCCTGCCAAGTGAGTGTAAAACGAAAGCCTGTAATTGTTTTACATGATGGTAGGATTGCTGGTGTCCTTTTTTCTGTCTCATGAACATGCAAGATTTCAGGTACGTCTTGCTACTTCTACTTACACTTAGGTCACACTACACATACATGTACAAGCACATATATGCACACCCCTCTGGGTTTTCTTCTATTTTCTTTCTAGTTCTTATTCTTGTTTATTTCCTCTTATCTCCATGGGGAAGTGGAACAGAATTCTTCCTCCGTAAGCCATGCGTGTTGTAAGAGGCGACTAAAATGCCGGGAGCAAGGGGCTAGTAACCTCTTCTCCTGTATATATTACTAAATGTAAAAGGAGAAACTTTCGTTTTTCCTTTTGGGCCACCCCGCCTCGGTGGGATACGGCTGGTGTGTTGAAAGAAAGAAAGAAGAAGTTTTCCATATCTAAGTAGTAGTTGAAATTTATCTTCGTTGAACTTCATATGGTTTTGAGCGGCCCATATGAAGATTTGGTTTATGTCTGCTTGGAATCTTGCAATGTCTTTGATGGAGGCCACTGTCATGGGAATTCAGGTGTCATCTGCAAAGGAAGACATGGAACTATGGCTTATCTCTGTCAGATATGAGTATGAGGAATAGGATGGGAGAGAGTACTGTGCCTTGTGGAACAGAGATTTTCACCATAACTGCCTCAGATTTTACTCTGTTGGCTATTACTCTTCGTCAGGAAGTTATAGATCCATCTACCAACTTTTCCCGTTATTCCTTTATCACGCATTTTGTGTGTTATTACACCATGGTCACACTTGTTGAAGGCTTTTGAAAGATCTGTGTATACTACATCTGCATTTTGTTTATCCTCTACAGAATTCAGGACCTTGTCATAGTGGTCCAGTAGCTGGGACAGGCAGGAGCGACCTGCTCTAAACCTGTGTTGCCCTGGGTTGTGTAACCGACGGGTATCTAGGTGGTTGGCAATCTTGCTTCTTAGAACCCTTTCAAAGATTTTTATGATATGGGATGTTAGTGCTATCTGTCTGTAGTTCTTTGCAATTGCTTTACTGCCAACTTTGTAGAGGGGCTATGTCTGTTGTTTTTAGCGAGTGTGGGATGACCCCTTTGTCCATGCTCTCTCTCCATAGAATACTGAAGGCACATGACAGGGACTTCTTGCAGTTCTTGATAACACAGACTTCCATGAGTCTGGCCCTGGGGCAGAGTGCATGGGCATGTCATTTATCGCCTTTTCAAAGTCTTGTGGTGTTAGGAATTATATCAAGAGATTTTTGAGATGACCAAATTTTGGGTCTCATTCATAAAGAATTCATTTGGAGTGTCAACCCTTAGTCTGGGTAATGGCTCGCTGAACACCGAGCCATACCGGGACTCTAGTATCTCGCACATTTCTTGGCTGTGTAGTATGACCTAAGTTTAAGTAGAAGTAGCAAGACATACAGTAGTGCTCCACTTGTACGGCAGGTTAGGTTCCGGC